TGGGAGAACGCGATGGGTTTCCTTGGTTTCGGCTTTTCAGCCGTTTCGCAACTGCTTGCCCAAATCCTGAAGAGACCAAAGCCCAAAGCCCAAACCCTAAAGGAGGCCGGAAGCAAAACCACTCCGCTCTGTGACCGAGCGGAGTGGCAGAACGCGACCGGTTTCCTTGGTTTCGGCTTTTCAGCCGTTTCGCAACTGCTTGAAAGAGGTCGGGAGCAAAACCACTCCGCTCGGCGACGGAGCGGAGTGGGAGAACGCGACGGGTTTCCTTGGCTTCGGCTTTTCAACCGTTTCGCAACTGCTTGCCCTCCCAAATCCTGAAGAGGCCAAAGCCCAGGCCCCAACTTCCAGAGGAGGTCGCAAGCGAAACCACTCCGCTCCATGACAGGGCGGAGCGGGAACCCCGATGGGTTTCCTTGGTTTCGGCTTTTCAGCCCTTTCGCAACTGCTTGCCCAAATCCTGAAGAGGCCAAAGCCCAAACCCCAAACCCCAAAGGAGGCCGGAAGCGAAACCGCTCCGCTCTGTGACCGAGCGGAGTGGGGGGGGGCCCGATGGGTTTCCTGGGTTTCGGCTTTTTAGCCGTTTCGCAACTGCTTGCCCAAATCCTGAAGAGACCAAAGCCCAAACCCTAAAGGAGGTCGGAAACAAAACCAATCCGCTCTGTGGCGGAGCGGAGTGGGGGAGCCCGATGGGTTTCCTTGGTTTCGGTTTTTCAGCCGTTTCACAACGGCTTGCCCAAATCCTGAAGAAACCAAAGCCCAAAGCCCAAACCCTACAGGGAGGAGGTTGGAAACAAAACCACCCCGCTCTGCGACAGAGCGGAGTAGGAAAACCCGACGGGTTTCCTTGGCTTCGGCTTTTCAACCGTTTCGCAAATGCTTGCCGGCCCAAGTCCGAGCCGGCAAAATTTCCGACCAACCCGCTGGCCTTTCTACGCAAGCACACCGCGGCGCGTTCCAATTTGGACGCGCGGGCGGCTTGCTCGCGGAGCTCCCTGCGGGGCTTGCTTGCCGGAATGCGGGGCACGGTGGAGGTTGGTTTTGGCCATTTTGGAGAACGCGACCGCTTGCCCAAATCCTAAAGAGGCCAAAACCCAAAGCCTAGGCCCTCCATGAAAGGAGTCGGAAGCAAAACCGCCCCGCCGCTTGACAGAGCGGAGGGGGGGCCCGGTGGCTTTCCTTGGTTTCGGCTTTTCGACAGTTTTGCAACCGCTTGCCCAAATCCAAAAGAGGCCAAGCCCCAAACCCCAAGCCCCAAAGGGAGTCGGAAGCAAAACCACGCCCCCCGCTCTGTGAAGGGGCGGACTGGATAAGCCCCAGCGGTTTCCTTGGTTTCGGCTTTTCCGCGGTTTTGCAACTGCTTGCCCTCCCAAATCCTAAAGGGGCCAAAGCCCAAACCCTAAAGGGGGTCGGAAACAAAGCCGCCCCGCCCTGTGACAGAGCGGAGTGGGTCAGCCCTATGCGCTTCCTGGGTTTCGGCTTTTCGACGGTTTTGCAACTGCTCGCCCAAATCCTAAAGAGGCCAAAACCCCAAGCCCTACAGGAGGGCGGAAGCCAAAGCAGTCCGCTCCTTCACGGGGCGGGGTGGACAAGCCCGATAGGTTTCCTTGGTTTCGGCCTCTTTTCGGTTTTGCAAGTGCCGGCCCAAACCCTATCGAAAAGGCCCAAAACTCAAACCCGAAACCCTCCAGAAGGTCGGAAGCCAAACCCCTCCGCCATGTCACGGGGCGGAGTGGATAGGCCCGCGGGGTTTTCTTGGTTTCGGCTTCTTCCCACTTTTGCAGCTGCCTGCCCAAGTCCTAAAGCTGCCAAAACCCCGCCCCGAACTTAGAGGAAGCCTGAAACCAAGGCCCTCCGCTCTGTCCCAGAGCGGGGCGGATGAGCCCGGTGGGAGGGCTTCCTTGGTTTCGGCTTCTTCGCGCTTTTGCAATTACTTTCTCAAGGACTGCACAGGCCCTCGCGGTGTCACTCTAGGGGCCGTCCTTTGCGTGCCACGACGCCGCTAGCGTTTCCTGCAGGACCTTCCTTCAAAATCTCTCAATACCGAACCACGACAGCACCTGCCAGCCCCTCGCGCGTCCGGCAAGCAGGGGGGCACTATGCTTTTGCAAGCAATTGGCCGAACACTCTGGCGGCCCTGCGACTTCTTGAGCGCCTGGCCTTCGAAAGTCAAGGAAACTGAGCCCAGGCGAATGCAGCCGCGGCCTTTTGAAATCGTGGCCCCTGGCGTTTTGTAATCTCAGCGCGCAGGGTCGCGATGGCGTCCTTACTTAGAAGTATTCAAATTCGACGAGGTGAGATTTTTCCTTCTTGTTCATATGCGCTGCCAGAAAGTTTCATGAGCGCAACACCCGCAGGGGCCTTAGTCGTCGTACTCCCATCCTTGAGGAAGCGACAAGGCCAGCGATTTTGCAATGCACTTGTTGAAATCCGTGACCAATTTCTTGTCTACTGTGACTACCTCTCGAAACTTGTCATTTCGTCTTCTGGCCGCTTCGACATCCAGTGGCTTCTTCGATCGCTTCGCTTTTCTTTCTTCGTCTTCTTTGCCACTCTCCAGTTCCGCCGTGTCCGTATAGCACTGATTCGTCATGTCCAAGAAGAACTTCAGGACAAGAGAGGCGCAAAATGCTTCTTGGAGGGCCAGCACACGGAGGTCGCAGATCAGTTTCTGGTTTTTATTTGTCATGTCCATGGATGTTTTTCATCATTCATCTGTGGAAGTTTTTCATTTTCATTTTCACCCGCATGTTCTGGCAGAAGAAAAAGCCAAAGACCAAAATTTGAAAGGCCTGGAACCTTCTACAAGGAAACCCCTTCCACTATGCTTATCCCCATCATGCAGCACTTGTTCTACCTGGATTTCTTCGGCACGGCTTACGACCTCATTCGCACGGCTGGCCGCCAGACTGATCTCCACGGCTTCGTGGTACTTCTGGCAAAAATCCTTCTCGAGGAACGGCCAGGTGACTCCAATGCTGCAGAAATAGATCGGCTCTTGCTCTAGCTTCTTGTTTCGGTTTTTCTTCCGAAGAATTAACGCGGACCCGAAGTCGATAAATGTCAAGTGCCACAAAGTGTGCTGGGAGTTGGTGCTCTGCCTCCTGTCGGCCTTCGTCTGGTCAATTAACTTCACGCAGAGGTTATCCATTTTCAGGTCGTTGTGGAGCATTTCTTTTCCCCAAATGTCCTCGCACGTGCTTTGAAACCTGATTTTGAGATGTGTGATCAGGATGCCGCTCGGCCTATGCGTCGAGAATATCTCTGCGTTTGTAAGGCAGCAACCTGTCTTGCGCGTCGAGCACTTGCAATAAATCTGAATCGCATATATAAAAAAGCAACAAAGAATAGAAGCCGGAATGCGAAAACGCAGCTTGTAATGCACGCCACGCATGAGCAAGCGCTCGACAGGATTTTCATGCCTTGCTGCACTTTAATCAATCGAGGCCATTTTTCGGCATGACAGGTTTTGTAGACCCAGACACATTTTCCTTTCGTGCTACCTCATCATGGACAAGCAACACTGTCACACAGAATAGGGATCAGAAAAGCGTCACAAACATAGTTGGTCTGGGCAGTCCAGAGCCGGCCCCCTTTCACACGAAAAGCTGGCACTTCGGTATGGGAGTCCGGCCTCTGTCACGGATAGGCTGTGTAAAAAATTTATGAAATACTGTTTCGCGAGATCCCGCCGCACGTAGTCCGGGAGCACGGTCAAGATCTCAACGAGGCAGATGCCCGCCTGCTCGGTTCGAAAGACCCAGTCGCTTTTGCTTATCCGAATACAAACTTCTCATGCGGTGCCTTGCTTGTCATGCATGCGGGGCGTGAGCGATTGCAACCATCCAGGAAGCCGATCCATGAAAATAGAGAGAGCGCCCTGCGCTATGATCTCGGGAGAGAAGCACTAGAGAAAAACACCGCGCCAGATGATGCTCCAGGCAACGCTTGCAAAGCTCAGAAAAACAAAACGCGCCGACGTTTTGTTTTCGTTTGTGAAGCGGGGCCCCGTCCGAGCGAGACAAGCGGACATGGCGGCTGAGAACTTTGTTGCGTACGGCGCAGGGACGGGCCGACTAACTCCAGATCGCGCGCGGTCTTGTAGCGCCGCTTCGTGCTCTCCGCGAGCTGCTGGGCGTGCGGGTTTTCTTGCATTTCCAAAAGCCCCAGGAGCTCCCTTCGGAACGCCTTGTAGGAGCGAAATGTCTTCTGGATTGACACGCTGCCCTTCCTCCGCACCTTGCGCAGATGTGGCATGTCTCCCAGGACTAGGTCACTCGAGTACTCCCTGTCGGTGTACGCGGCTAGGAATTTGCGTTCGGCGTACTTCTGTGCGGCTGCTCGGCGCAAAGCGGCTGTGCGTAGTTTTTGCCGCTTTCCTACTTCATCGCCATTCCATGTGTCAGCGTATCTGGCCGCCTGCTCCTTTTCGCGTGCCGAAAAATACCGCCAGTCGATTTTTGTTGGGCGAGGATTCGCGACAAGGTAGTCGGACTCGCTTTTAACGACGACCGCCTCGTCGCTCTTATCAAAATGAAAAGCGCCCCCCCCCGCAGAAATGTGCGAAGTCCTTGCATTGCAAATAGGCCTCGACGTAGCAAGTGTTTGTTTTTCGTGGGGGAGAGAATGCGTCAGGTGCTGGCCAAAATTAGTGTCGGCCCAAGTTGCCTCGCTATCCCCAATATCAACACGCCTCCAGGGCTCAACGCGAGGCAGATGAGCCGGACAGAAACAACAGAGGTGGGCAAACACGTTGGAGACATCTCTGCTGACATGTCTTTGCTTGGTTGCAGACGTGTCTGGCTCATCTGCTTGCAGACAGAAGGAAGTAGCCTTGCGCCGATCATCTGGCGTGGGTCCAGAAGATCTGTGTTGCATAGCCGGCACAAGTTCCTGCAAGCCGAAAAACTGCAATATCAATGTTCGCGAACTCTTCCAAGCACAGACATCTCTGCAATCTCTGTAACTAATGGGGAATCGCTGCCCGCAATCTAGCTATTTGAAAAGCAATGACCTCCGCACACGCTCGGCCCCGAATCTTTCTGGTGCGTATTCATGCAAGGTCGGACGGACTTCTTTTGGCAAATTTGCATGACGCGCGTTTGCTTGCTCTGGGGGAGGGGCGCTTGCCACTATCGTAGCACATGGCGAAAGCCTGCCGGCACATCCGGCATATGCGTCGCCAGGCATCAGTCTCATCGCTGAGTTTGTACCGGAGCATTGAGAAAAAATCCCGCTTCTGGTTTTTGTACTGGATGGGCAACACATATCCGCACGAAGTACAACGGGAGAGGGGTGTCCATCTCTATCAGACAAAACCAGGATGGGCACACACAGACGCTGGGCGCAAGCGTTTTCGTAACAAGACGACTGCGACGCCGCCCTTCCTCACACCGCGAGCGCCGGCGCGCAATTGTTTGGACTTACGACGGTAGCGCTCCTCCCTCAGGTGGGGAAGTTGGCCGCGTAGCGGGGCTGTTAATAGGCAGGCGGGACAGTGCCGATCACGGGGCGCGCCTAGTGCCACGAGCCGCGACTAGCACGCGCAGCTACTTTTCACAGCTTTCGGCAATGATTGCGTGATACATGGCCGCAGCTGGAATGCGCGCAGCGATGGGCCCCGACGGCGTTCTCCCGTGACACCCTAAACACCGGCCGTACGAACGGTGGCGCGCGGGATGCTATCTACCTCCCCTAGCGCCACACCGGGCCGGCTTGGCAGTCGCTGGGCGGACCCCAGTCCATGCGATGCGCCCGGGCGCTGCGGCAATCCCGGGGCAGCTTCCTGCCCCGGCCAGCGTTCTTTTGCGCTTTGCGGCGCGGCTGGCGTTCCAGCCCCCCCTCCCACCGCCCCGGCCCGCGATGGGGGGCTGTCTTGTCTGGGTTAGAGGGCGTGCAGGGCGCGGCGCCGCTTTTAATGCAGGGCCGGCTGTCCTTTCTTTGGCGTTGGTAGGGCTTGCGGCAGCGTGCGTGAGTCCGCGCCATCCGTGGTTTTTGCGCACGGGCAAACAGTCAGCGCACGGCCGGCCGGCCGGCACGCTCGCGCCCGCCTGCGCCGCGCTTTATTCTTTACGAAGGCGAGCGACAACGGGCGCGCCTCGACGGCGCGCACCTCGCAGGCCCGTTTGCTCCAGCTGCTTGCTGCTGGATTTGTCTGATGGATAGCCCCGGCACAACCTGCAGAACGGCGAGCGGGGTCAGCTCGTGGACCTCGTCTCGGAAGCAGTGGTCCGGAAAAGATCCGCTGCCCCGCGACTGGAGCACCCGCAAACCCGCCACCGTCTTGAAAGAGCTTGCCAGCACCCCTTCCGGGGATGTTTCGTCGCAGAGTATCTGTTCCTCCCTGTCCTCTCCATCTTCGTCGGCGTATCCAAAACAAAAGCAGCCCGCGGCGACAAATACGAAGCGCCATCCTTCGAATGTGGGTGGGTAGACATGTTGCTCCTGAAAAAGAGAAGGACGCGGGCATCCCATTCTCGACCATCTTGCCTTCATTGGGTGCCAGTCTCCATCAAAATCAACAGGCGCGACAAGGACGACGAATGCGACCTGTAAGCCTGGATATATACATCGGGCTCAGAGCGTTCGTCTTTCGGCCTGTTGTATATGGCACGGGCGTGCTTTTATTTTGGATACAAGCCGCACTCGGTTAAGCATCTTCGCTGCCGTGTCTGCTAGCCACTTCCTGCACTTCTTCTCAACCTCAATTCCGTGCTGCTTTTGGCTGTTGCTCATGTTCAGCAGCTATCCTGAGGAAGAACGTCTCCACTCCAGACCCAAGATGGTGGCTTTGCAGCACAAACCTAGAATTTGTGGGATTCACGCATGATAAAGTGCAGTCCGTAGGGTAATGCGATTTAGCAAGGACAGCCGCATTATACAAATCCATCTCCTTATAGGCTGTTTACAGCATTACAAATTTCCCAACGCGAGTACTAGAATTGCCTATCTTGGGGATGCGCATCACAAATGATCCTGTCTTCGTAAACCTGCATGACAGTTCTGCGGTGGAGACGTTTTTACACAGGATAGCAGCGGCCCCATAAACGCCAACAGCCTGGATACGGCGTCTTCCAGATTTCCATCGTCATCGACCGCAGCAGGATTCAGCTCGCCGACGTTCTCCAGCTTCGAGGGTGCCGCCACTGCAGCGGGCGACTTTTCGCCGGCCTGTTTTGCCGCTTTATCTGCGCGAGAGTTGGCGGCGTTGTTATCATTTGATACTCCCGCGCTTCCCGCTTTCGGTTCGGAGGAGGCATGTGGTGCGTGGTTTTTCCCGGAAAAGATGCCGCCGCTCTTACTCACCTTCATACTGCTCATCGTCATCGTTTCCTTCGGCTTCATATCCCGGTCGTCACCAATTTCGCCAGCGGTGAAATGCTCCGCTGATGCCACTTTCCGTAATTTCTTCGAGGAAGCGGCTCTCCCGTATCAAGTGCGAACGTGTCTCAGTCTGGAGAGTTGCAATAACGAACAAAGCGCACTTCTTCTGTTTTAAGCAGACCTCAGTGCACAGCTACCCATGACAAACAAGCTGCCCTTCGTTTTGCATGAGCTAAATGCAGCGCATAACTTTATGCGTTTCTGCTATTCAAGGATGAAACTCGCTGCAACCTTCGGGACCCAGACATCATATTTTCAGCAGATATTCCGTTGTGACGCACTGCCACCAAGGCGAGGTCGGACGGCTTTGCTTTTGGTACTGCTTGTGCACTGGCCCCACGACCGGAAACTGCCTTAGCGCTCGCCTTCGTCTCTGGGAGCGCGTCCTCATCCTCTTTCTGCTCTGCAGCATTAGCTCCAAGGTCGACGGAACAACTGCCGCCGCCTTGTTCTGGGCTGGCGTTGATCGCCATTCTTTTGTTGGTTGAAAGTCTGCGCGGACGGGCTGGCTCCTCCGCGTTCTGCTTTTGTAGCTGTGGTTGCTCACGCGCTAGCTTCGCGCTGTTATCTCCGTCGCGGCGCCCTGGCTGAAACTTGTTCCCGGGTCGCTTGCCGCTGACATGCGAAGACGCCTGAGGTGGGCAGCTTTGACTTCGAAGAAGGTCCTTCTTATTCTTTTGATGAACGGCACTAGCGCCTGCTACTTTCTGCAGCGATGTGAACGGCTCCACGTTGTCGATAAAATGTCCATACTTCTCCGCAAGCTCAAGTAGGATGCGCAGAGCTTCCTCGACTGCTCTGCCGGAAACGTTCGTCCTCTTGTCCTTAACCGCTACATACGCGTACTGCACGTGGAGCTTGACTTTTTCCAAGAAATTGGGGCCCCCCATCGTGCCGAAGTGTAAAGCAACAACAAGCAGACGAAACTCCACAACAATCACCGGCGCCAAGTGAGAACCAAATACTGGACGTCTATGAAGAGACTTCCACGTCAGGAAGTGTTGTTCTCCATCCTGTGGCAACCCGACGCGCCAGCCCAGCAGTTCTTATGCGTGTTTGCACGCCCAGTGAGTGCGTCGCGGGTCAACGCATGGGAGCATTTTATAATCGTGTTTCAAGATATGCGACGATCTGCTCAGACTCTCAAAGTCAGACCGCGATGTGGCCATTAGTAGCCGCTGACACCGGTAAGCTGCACGACCATGCTACAGCGCCGAAGTTTCTTGTGCTAAAGTCTATTAGTATATGAGACATCGCAATTTGGTTCTAGGGCAGCTGGGGATATGTTTTTACACAGGAGATTCCCCGCGCTCATACACTCAGAAAGTGCCGCAACGTCCATTCAAAAAAACAGTCTTCTCGAGAAACCAAGAAAAAAGCACGAAGCTTTGGACTTGAGCAATACACTTTTGCCGCTAGGTCCGAGCACTTACAAAACAAAAAAAAAAACTTCGGTGCCATAGCGATAGCTTTACCGTTTCCACTTTTCGGATGATTCTATACACTTGCGAGCACCACAACATTGATCGGTTGCGATCAAGGAAGTTGAACATCAAGAAGAATCAGTTTTACCAGCACTGGCATTTACCATTACCCAGGCTGTAAACTGATCTCGATCATCATCGGTCCGACAAGAAGGAACACGGGCAGGTTACAAAGACCCGCGTCGGGAGTTCGGTCGAGCAGGGGAATAGTCGTTCACATTCAAAATTTGTGGCGCAAGAAAATGCAACAACCGCTAGTCAGAAGCTGCTTGTCGTATTCTTTCGAAAGCTTTTAGCTTCAAAAAAATCATGTCTCATATCATCAGAGCGTTTGGCCAGGTATCGCCCGCAGCAAAATGCTATCGAAAGCAAAACCGTGAAAATAGTCAGTCGAATAGTGAATGTGTCTGCATCAAATCAGTAGCACATAGTTAAAAAGGAAAGGAGCCTACAGCCACGATGAGCCAACATTTTTGTGTGGGCTTAGCAAATCAGGAAAGAGCACATTTGAACTACAGTCGGTAGGAGCAGTAGAGGAGTAAATCAAAATACTCGACCATGATCAACTTCACCACTTTTTCGCACTGGAAAAACATGTCACCACCATGCACCTCACTGCATCTTTCTCTTGCCGTCGGTCTTTTTTACATTTTTTGCGCTCTTCATCTTGTTCATTTTCTTCGTGTTGTTTCCACCGGTTTTTTTTGTCGATTTCGGAGCAGCGCCGGTTGGTTTCTTCCCACCGCCGGAGGACTTCTTGGTCTATGCACTGGAAATATGTCGTGTGTGCCTGGAACACTGACTGCAACATGCCATTGTGTTGATTCTGTATGCTCCTGCCCCAACAGGTCTCCTGGAAAGCAGGTTACAGTGCAACGCGTTCTCTTTAAAGAAAGGACATTTCGATGCCTATTGGGCATGAGAGGTCCCCTCTTTCAGTACAAATTTGCCAACTTTCGGCCCACGCGTGACAGTTTTTTTGAGTTTAGAATGTCAGCAAGTCACCAGTGTGCATTGCTAGGGGCCACGACATATTTGCGTTGGATATCTTCTGCCCAGTTCCCATCTTCACACCCTTTGACGACTTCGGAGCCACACTCGACTTGTTGGACGTCTGCACACTCGACTTCTTCGTTGTCTGCACACTCGACTTCTTCGTTGTCTGCACACTGGGGGAGTTCTTCTTGCCGGTTTGTTTTTTACGCTTGGTCTTCACACTTTGCGTGGTATTCGTCGTGCCAGCCGCTTTCCCCTTCGTCGCCGGAGCCTTCATCGTTGCCATTTTTTTGCCCTTGGAAGAACCGTTTTTCGAACTGGGGTTCTGTAGTTTTGCGTTTGCGACAGTCTTGCGCAATATACTATTAGAAGAGAATGCTACAACAACATGCGTCCTGCTTGAATGACGGGCAGGGAAACAATACCAAACGTACGGCGTTCTTCTTGAACATTCCGAATTGCGCCAGTGAGATCCATATGGTAGTACCTTGGACTGGGACTTCTTCGCTTATCCTATTGAAAAGCCCCCTACCCCAGGAAGGACAAGCGTCCTTTGAGTTGCAATATTTCACAACTACGGGAACCCTTCTCATGGTCCTGCATATGCCAGCAACACAAATTTGCGATGGTGCGGAAAAGAAAATCAAGAGCTTCGTGATGGGCGGCGACTACTTCCAGTCATTGCATGCATAGATCAACAGTCTCGCGCCTAGGTAAGTTCAGAAACGTTTCTTACTTCTGGAGGTGGGGAGCTTTTCACTTTGATATGATTCCGGTCTTCTTGCCCGAGGCAGAAGACGTAGCCCCACCACGAGCGGCACTCTTTTTCTTCATTTTCCCGGCTACGCGCTTGACGATGTTGCCGAGGTCGGGCTTCGAATCGGGTAAGACATGTCTCAGCAGTACGTAGTGCACCTCCCCTGTTGTAGTGTTAGTCGACGCTAGCGCTCCTTTTTTTCTTATTTCAAGATTTTTTTCGTTTCGTCTCTCCGTTGGCACAGGGCCAGGACCAGTGAGACGACACTCCACGCATTCAGTGACAATTTCAAAAGACCAAAGGCAGCACAAGCTGGCCCCAGATATTAGTCTTACATACCGTAATTGGCGATAACGATCTTTCTCGGCATGCTGTCGGGGTCGACCGGCAGGTATTTCTGGATGGTTTCTAGCGTATCCAATACAAAAACACGCCAATACGATATTGCAAGTTGCCTCTATCATGCAATTTTTTATTTTTTGGGTCGCTGCATTCATTCACCCCATACGCAGCCAATCGCTTTTTTGCATTGATTCGAAAGCAAACGAGCACCGCAAGCCTGTTGCCTTCTGTACAGTAGGCCAGTAGTGGCAATTTGTAGACCAGAAGCTGGGCAATTTCTAGTGCAGAAATGAAGGACAAAAGAAATGCGGAGTTGTTGAAGTGGCCGTTTCAACAATAGCCATTTCAAAAACTCTACTCCTTCCCTTCATTTCTGCATTACAGATGCAGAAAAGAAGAACAAAAGGAGAAAATGCGACGAGCTTGCTGCTGTCCTTCATTTCTGCGTTACAAATTGCCGCCATGGTCGGCAATTTGTAACGCAGAAAGGAGCGCAAAAGTGTGGCGATGGCTGTTTCGACTTCCCTCCATTGGAGGAAAGTTGAAGTGGCCACTTTTATAGAAGGAGAGTTGAGGTGGCCACTTCGCCTTTCCCTCATCGAGGGAAAGTTGAAGCGCCCACTTCAACACTCCCTCATCCGCAACACACACATGCAGCAATTTTTGGCCCCCTAGATGCCACCTGTCGGCGGCGCCCATAACTCTAGAAGTTCTCACCCTCTTCAATATGCGGAGCCCACCGGCAACCCTGGCCCAAGCGGGCCATTGAAAAGTGGGGCCGCGGCGGAGGGGTGGCTAGGTTCCAAACCGGCCACCCAAAAGCGCGGCCATAGCATGCGTTTTGCTTGTAATCTTAGAAGAGGCAAAAAAAGCACGCGAAAACTATCGCACTTCCTTGAGCCACTTCTACGTTTAAGTCCTTTGCTCATGCCCGGCTTTTATAATATAAAAGCCGGGCAACTGATAGGCTTGCAGTGCTCGCTGAGCGCCGAGAAGGCGGCTGTCCATCACACTACACAACCGCCGCAACTTGCTTAGAATAATCTATGGGCGTGGTTCTTTTTCCGAGCGATACCGTGGCGGCCGGGTAACCAGATTATTCGTCCCGAGATTGTAAACACGTGGCTCCTTACCCTTATCGTGCATGATCGTTGGCTATCACGTCGAAAGAACTTGCCCTAGTCCAAGGCTCAGCACTGCGCTCGTGGATGGGGGTTATGGGGCAATCATGACCCGCGACCCGTCGAGAGCGACGCGCAACGATTGCCATACAGAAATAGGAGGCGTACAATCGTGCTCGGGATTGCTGAGCCTGCAGGGCTAGGGCAGAACTGCAGCGCGTAGGATCTTCTCCAACCCCAGCGCCTCGCCGAGGGCCAAAATATCGTGCTCGTCCGCCCATTCGTGGTTTGTCTCGTCCGCGACCTTCCTGCAATGCTCGTCCAGGGTGGTACATCGAAAGAAAAAAGCGACGCAGTTACACATCGCGCCGAAAATGCCGTTTTTTTCATGGTGCAAGAACTGGACTAAAATACTTTTGAGCATTTTGCTGGCGGTCGTGTCCGTTGCGCTTTGCTTTGTTTTCCATGAAAAAAGAGCGTCTGTAAGCAGCTACGTACGGTTGCTTCAGTTGACTACTCTAGCTAAGGAGGCCAGCTGCCCGATATCGCGGACCACGTCAAGAGCGTGCTTTTTAATCTCAGGCCCGGCAGCCCGCTGGCCCCACGAGGTGGGGCCCGGAGGCGTCACGCCGGCAACCTTCGTGCTGGACTGCCAATCCGGAACAGACACCCAAACCGCATGCCTCCTTAGCTAGCCAGTTTAACATACAACGGCAGCAGCCGCTCGCTACCTGCAGGGCGAAGTGCTAAAACGTCGCACAGGGAAAACGGGACGGCTTCCCGGCACGCCAAAAAGTGCCACTCTTCAGGGCAGTAAAAGTGTGGAGTTTTCGGCGCGCTGTGTAATGATATCGCTTTTGTCTTTCGATATAGTACCCAACGCGGGGAAGAGGCCGAGCGACTCATAATAAGCGCGGTTGTGTTGGTAGTAAGTCGCGACCTGTCGTTTTTCATATCTCTTGGCATTAGGTCGCGACTCGGCATCCACTCCGAGCATGAACAAGGTAACTGTAAAAGCGAAGGCACAGAAGTGGGCAACTTTTGCACTTCATCACATTCATGCGGAAAATGAAACGCAAATCTACCAGCTGCCGCAGAGAGTAGTAAAGATCCTGCAAGCGGTGTTCCTCGCGCGTGTTCTTCTTGGATTGCGGCACTTTGGACCAGAAATCTGGCCAGTCGTACACCAGTTCCGCTATCGCACGGTATAGGCAACTTCCGTCACCTGGGGGAGGTGAGAGAGATATTCATACACAACGCGGCTACTCGCCGGAACAGTGGAAAAGATGCAAGCGCATTCGCATAGCACCACGCAAATAATGATAAATCAAAAGTCTTACAACACGTAGGCGCTTAGAGAAAAGCCAACTCTTGAAAGTGTTTGCATACCGTCCGGCTGGAATTCGAGATCGATCTCGTACCCCCAAAAGTCCAGAGCGAGGCTCAAGCGGACGATTGGGTCTTTGTTGGCCAGAAGTTCTCGGTTTTTATTGCCGTTCGTCTTCGTTTTCGTTTTGTTACTGGCAAGCATCTCTTTTTCCCAAACCGCATTTTCCCGCGTATCAAATAGAAATATTTCTCGGTCTGGATAAAAGGCACGCTGAGCCTTGCATGACAAAGCAGTCTTTTGTACGGCGTGAACGCATTACAAGTTTTTCCGGTGTTCTTGCAAGTTGATTCGTATCTAGCATGGCATACTGTCTGCCAGCACGAAAAAAAAAACTGTTCAGTCCCGTTGATGCAATACAGATCTTGGCGTCTCGCAACTTCCGCATCACAAATCCAGATCGAGACGTATTTGCAAAGCATACCTAATGAATTGAACCAATTCGTCGTCCAGCACGAAGTGAATTATTGTTAGGAAAAATCCCCCCTATCCGTAGTGAAAAAGAAATTTGTAATGCTGGATTTGCGTTCAAATTACCCATGACTGCTAGAAGGACGAGAGACACGGTTGCAGCCTCGCTTGCAGCCAATTTGTCGACATCCTGTCTCCCGCCTCCAGTAGCTTCTTGTCATGCTGGAGACGCAAGGCGTTCCCACGCCAGCCAACACGACATTCCGTATCTCTTCCTTGTAGCATGACCACGCTCTTCATGGTCGCGATTGAGTACGGGCATGGGGGACGTTTCATTGTAATATCAACGTGCAGTTTTTTTTTGCCGTTTTTGTTGTTCAGTTATGCATTGCAAACATGTCCGGGTCTGGAAAATAATTGCAAAACTTGATGTAATGCCGAATTTCTGGAATAACTCCATGCTCGTGAAGATGAGCTTTGTAGATGAATCTTCTTGCGGAATAGTACGTCTCCGTCGTCATGCAGAATCACGCTGTCCTATGCGCCCCACGCTCAACAAAATAAGAACTATTCAGCGAGTGCCAGTCCCCGTGCTGGACCAGGTACTGCAGTCAGTAGTTTGATGTCGCTCACACACATAAGAGCATGACAGTTTTCCAGGTCCGAATATGTTTGCATTTGATATCAACACGTCGATACGGTTCTTGCGTTGCTCCTGGACAGCTGGATCGTCCATGACTTCTTTTGCTGTTTTATACTGCGCCACCGGTTTGAAGTTCTTCTCGTTGCCAGTCACGATGTGGCAGTGCCCGGCACTGACGCCCGACATGTTGGTCCGCTTATCAAAAAAAAAAATGCATCGCAGTCACAACTTCCTTGCAAAAAGTATGGAAATGAGGACCCGGCGTGCATGACAATTGCTTCTTTCCATTGGAAACAGTGAAATAAGCTTGACTGTGATGAATTTTCGCGCAGGACGCGTTCGGTAGATGGCCAACAAGTAAACACACATAAAAAGTGGCTGCGCCGGCGATGTTCTTTTTTTGATAATGTTTGGAGTCGCGCACGTGGTGCTGATGCACCAGCGCAGTAGATTTCGACGATTTATTCCCGAGCAGGGCACTGGGTTCTTCTTCGGCAGAGTTTTCACGACCTGTTCAATATCAAATGAAAATATGACTGGGTCTCCTGGAAGATTCCGAGATTTCTCATGCAGTTTTCAAGAAGCTTCCTCAAGTCTGGAATGCAGTGCCTAGCAGCACAGGTTCTGTAGACCCTTTATGATGCCTATCCACATGAGAAATGCCCTCTCAGCATGGCCAAAAGGGGGCATCCTTTGCTGGTCATGCAACACAAGTCTTTGTATGATCTGCAACACGCATCACAATTTTGGATTCTTCCTGACCCAGACATATTTGCAGTTGATAATCAAAAGAGAAAAAGGATTACTTAAACCATACAGGCTGACACAGCGGAAACTGCTTCATCCATTGCAATTTTGTCTGGGTCTGGAATACTGTGCGTGTTTGTCATGCATCTCGTGGATTATTTATCTCGGATGCACACAGAAGCATCACAGATTTTGCAAGAGCAAGCTCATGCCCAGTCCGCATGGAAAGGTCGCAGCTTCCATAGCAAAAAGCTCACGACTTTTGGCGTTCATGCAACACAGATATTTTCGCGGTCCAGATTTACCATGACAAGCTGGAGTGTTTCAGATCCAGACGTATTTGCAATGTGTATCCTTGCAGAGTTTGCAACTTCATGCGGTCTAAAAACTATGAAGGTTATGCGGCCAGCGAATGAGCACGCAAAGCGCTACAGTGTAGTATAAGTACCGTCGCGGGACGAAGAACGGTCGTCCGGCTCTTTGCAGGTGTAGAAGCGCGCCCCTTGCATGATGTAGTTGGCCTAGATGTTGCTGGGACTCGTGCTGGGAAGACGGCGCGCCGTGGTCTCGTGTTACTTGTGACAAAGGCAACTCCGACAAACGAATTTGCCACAAATAGTGTTACTCTCTCTCCACTTCTGCTACAATAGTTTCTATGCGACACGCACACGGCCGAAGGTGCATGCAATACTCGACGCGTCCTGTTTGCAGGAACTCGGAGAGGCTTCTCGATTGGATCTGAAGTCTTCTATTTGGGTATCCGCTTTTTAATATCCCATGTACAACTACTTCGTATGAGTCAAGGCCTGTGGATTACGAACATCAAGACTGATTGAGGATTTGCGCTCATATCATGCGTGCCATCGGTATTGCGTCTTCTGTCTGTTCCCTCACTATTGTTATTGCTCTTGTCATCCCGCTTATGTTATTTGCTCTTGTTCTCATTTGAAGATCTTTTTCCTGTTTGTGTTCGCTCTGGGTCGGGTTTTGAGTCTTTTACGCGGGAGCATTACTAGCCTATCCTAATACGCAGTCTTCAAAAACAGGCGTCAGAGGTCAAAAGCTTCCACTTTGCATGTAGTTGATACGCTACGGAATACACGGAAAAACGAAGACGTCAGGAAAGTGTTGATCTTCAAAGCAATCCGCAATAGCGTCAGAGAAATTTTCTCTAGATTCTCTACAATGTGTTGCTACTGCATGTTGCTACTGCAAGCAGTATTAGCATTGATACGATATTAATGGGCACGGTTTCTTTATTTTCGGATGCTGCACCCCCACCGCCTCTTCATTATCAAGCCGGAGGAGCGAGCCAAGTCCAGGCGTAGGTAGCGAAACCGAAATCATTTCGCAAGCCAAGCAATAATAAAGCATCGTCCAGGAGTTGTAGAGATGAAGCACTGTCAGGATGAAAGACACCAACAACACAAGTGATTCAGTCAGGCGTCCGTGCTAAGCTCAGACCTTTCTCACCTCCGCCTCCGCGGAGATTATTCCACTTGTCATGTGCGTATTTTCATTCTTCGCGGGATGTTTTTACATTTCCATCGAGGTGCCAGCAACATAATCTTGAAAGTAGAAGCCTTGGCCTTCGCTCCTTCGCTTGTTGGAAGTCTTTTTTTGTCTCCCAACTTGTTCAAGCAGAGAAAAATAGAAGTAAGACGATACACAAAATGCGTCCGCGATTGCCAAACCCTGGAGAGCATAGGAACTCCGCACCTCACGGAGCGCCTTGCTTGGTCATTCTATCAACCAAATAGTGCGCTGCGGAGTCCTCCGCTATCTACAGATAGACTCGGTCTTCAGATATTTTCTTGCTCCTAGCAAGATGCTGCGCTTGGACAATCAGCAAACTGTTGCTAGTCGCCATGAAACGCATGTTCGCATATCCAATGCAAATATGTCTCCTGGGTCTCGAGAAGTCGGGATGCTGGTGCCCGCATTACTGCATGACCCGTGAGGTCTGTCATGCTGGGCGCACGGGAGATGCTCTCACCGCGTGCCAAAAGCTGACTCTTCTTGCTGCTCATGCAGCACAGATATTTTCAGAATCCGCAGGCAGCATTACAAGTTCCACTCTTCCAGACCCAGACACATTTGTATTTGATATCGCATCGGAAGCCTGCATTGGGATCTTTGCTTGCGTCACCGGGAATTGCTGTTCCAAAAACTGTATCCAGTGCAAAAGTATCGCATTCGTAGTACTTGCAGTTATGCAAGACAAATTTCTTTGCCAAGCTAAATCAGCATGAGACGTTTGTTCCATTTGTCATGCTGAGGAGATTTGTAATGCATTTATACGAGTGCGATACTTTTGCAATTCATAAGCTGTTCGAAATTCGGGCTCAGCGTCGCCAACATTTTCTCCGCGGAGAGATTCGGAACATCCGGGTTTTGTTGGGGTTTCATCTTTTCGGAAGAAATAAGTATCCTCGACGCCGGTGTTGCCGCTCGGTAGCTTGGCCCACAGGGAGGCTGAGATCATGTTCATGAGGTGTTGGTTTTACAAGGTTGATGACGAAGACAGATATGCAAAATCAGTGAACGGTGAAACGTGATAGACTTCTTCATTCTCTCGACCACAGCAAGAACATCACAGCTACTAAACACAAAGTAGCATCAAGGATAACGTCGAAGTAGTTCTTATACCAGCATCCACATCGTGCATCTGCCACCAGAACACCGGTCGCAACTTGCTTCCATGTATGAAATTCCCGAGTCTTCCGCCTCCCACTTCCTTTCGCCTTCCCGCCCTTCCCCTTTCCCCCCTGGAACCGCCGCGCCTTTCGATGGAGGCACGGGGGCGGCCTTTGAAGTTCCGCCAGGGATCGGAGCACCCTTTGCAGACTTCGCTCCGTTCTTCCCAGGCACTGCTGCTCCTGCTTTTTTCCCTGTAGCGCCGTTCTTTCCACCTGATGCAGCAGCTCCTTTCGAAGAAGGCGCGGCTTGTGCGCCGCCTTTATTGCGAGAAGCCGGTCCAGACGCACCACTCGCTTCTGCCGCAGCGCTCGCAGCCGCTAGCGAACCGCCACTGTCTGCTGCGTTTGCCGTGCTGGAAGAGCTCCCGCCGGCCTGTTCATTCCCAACAACACTTGCTGCCGTACCATTCTCACTCGTTTACGTGAAGCTCATGTGCAGCGCGTCTAAGATGTCCTGGTTATTCGCAGTAGTGGTCGCGTTGGGCAGTAGTGGACAATCAGCAAACAGTTGATGGTCACCCTGAAGCGCTTGATCGCCAAGTTGCGCCGTAACACATAAACCTGTCGAGGACTACTTTGTGCACGCACGGTCGTGGATGGCGAAGGCTTCCCGTCCCGGTAGGTGTAGTTTAAGCGTTCGACCTCGATTGTCGTCGTGCTCCTGACGGGTGGCTAGCGACGCCGATCATTCGCTGCTCAAGAATCAATGACCAGAGAGACTTAGCAGGCCTGTGAATGGGGTATCTCAGCGACCAGAAACCCTTCCAGAGCGGCGATTTCCCCAGCATTTATCTCGCGGCCCCGTCCCCAAACCTCCTATTCTGTCTAAAAACTTACCCACCCCAGAGTTCTTGTCATGCGTATGTGCACGGTCGTAAATCTCTTACCCTTTTCTAGTAGTGTTTGGAAATGTCATCTCACACACTAGTGCTTGTCAGGGGCTGCGTTTGTTCTGCAGCTGGCCTAATTAGGACTGACCACGCTGCAAATCGACACTTATCGTGCACGACAACTTCCAAAAGTTCTGGATTTGTCTTGCGGAGCGGTTCTAGATTTGACTATAGGGTTGTGGGCACGTTTTCACAAATGATAAGTACTTAACTGCTCCTCTTTCGTCACTGCAGAGTAGAAGACGGGCTCAGAACGCTCGAGATAATGCAAGCCCCGCACGATTGCTCTATCCACTGAAAACATGTCTGGGTCTGGAAAGACGCAGCGAATTCGTGCTGCTGAGTCGTTCTTGACGTAGCGGCCCCGAAAACGGAAGCACTGACTGAAAAGATAGTGCCTTTTCCATCTTTTTCTCAGCAGATTTCTTTCGAGGCGGCAGCGGACTCGCTTGCAATGGACTCAAGTCGTTTTTCTGTCTAGACGACGAAGAGTCGAGCCTGCTACTGCTGAGGCAGACGATCTCCGGCGCCCCATGTATTTTGCCGTGAGCGGCAAGTTCTCCAAAAAGGCCATGCGATTGCTAGCGGTCGTAGAAGTTGAAGTGAGAATTCTGCTGATAAAGCGTTGGTCTTCGCCGCGCTGCGCTCCATACTTCGGTATCTCGGGGTATGGCATCCGAACAGCAGCTTCCCGCTTCACCGTTATGTGCCCATAGGGATACCATTCTAGATACCACCTTCCCCGTTCCTTGTACCGCTTCAAAATGTGAGGCGTCAACCGCAAGAAAACGTCGCGGTTTTCGGCGTTCTCAGTATCCAAGGACACGCAATCTGTTCCCTCCGTGATCGTGCTGGACCGCTCCGATACTAGTAGAGCGAGTTGTGAGTCCATCTTCCCGTCTTTCAGCTCGACGAAATTTCTACTACTTGGTGATGCTGTTCTGTTCACTTTCACATATTCAGAGTCCTCCCCCTTGCCCTTGTTCGTCTCAGCAGTCGTCGTTCTGCCAGGTGCGCCAGTTGTTTCCCCAGCGCCACACTGCACCGAGAGAGCGCTCAGGGACAGGTCGCTCCATTTCGCTTCCTCATACCGTCTCGCAGCCCGCACGTCGCCGACGAAATGACCCACCAATATCAGCCTGCGCAATCTCCCGCTTGCTTGCTCTCCTTGTCTTGCTCCCAGCGCAGAATGCTCGTACACCGGGAGAGCTTGGACGAATTTGCGCAGCTGCGGCCCAAACCCGTTGCAGGAACCGGAACACTCACCAGAATCGTACATCAATTTGTCCTCGGACCCCTCTTCTAGTAGTTGTGCTTGACCACGGAGGCCTTCGTTTGCACTTTTTCCGCGAGCCTGACTTTGATGGCGCACGACCCGCACCACCGGAAAGCTCCATCTGGCGGCTATGAGGTGTGGCAATCCCGATTTCACCGCCGCTTTTTTGAGCCACTTGATGCGGTCCGGAAACGCGAAGTCATCGCTGTCCAAAAAAGCGATGTACTCGCTTGCCGCTACCCGGGCGATCCAGTTTCTTCCCACCCCCGGTGAAAAGGACCGCGCCAGCGGTTTTTCCCCCACACGCTTCGCCCACAGAAGTGTTACGGCTACCTGCTTTTGTGCGCTTTCTTCTACCTCCGACTTGGCGGAGGTGGACCTTGGCGGGATTACCAATTTTCCGCGACAGGTCTCAACCTCGATGTTTTTCACGGCTCGGTCGGCCGTGGTAGCGTTGTATTCCGTGCGGCAACTGAAAATCTGAGCACTCTCTTGAAGCTGGTGAAACCGCCCTGGTGCTTGTGCTACCGCAGGAGCAGCTTCTGGCACTACTGCAATTGGATGCGTGCTGTCCACCGTTCTTGCCCTTGCCGCCGCAGCCAGCACGGCCGCTCTCGCAGCCGCCGAAAGCAGGATCTTTGGGCTCGAGCTCGATGCCTGCTGGTGCTCTGCTTCCGCTTTCATAGTAGACACTTTTCCGCTGAAGAAGACCACGAATTTATCAAAAGGAAAAATCCCCCCTCCCCATATCGGAAACGGAAGATGCGCGAATTTGTGATGCTGTATTTGAGTACACAAATCAACTTGTATTGCTAGAGGGCCAAGACACGAAGGCGCGGCCTAAATCGCAGGTAATCTGTCATGCTGTTTCCCGCTTACAGTTGCCTTTTGTCATCCTAGAGCTGCAAGGCTTTCCCACACTAGACAGCACTACAGTCCGCATCTTTAGCCTTCTAGCATCACAAAGCTGATTTGTGACCACAAATATGCATCACAGATTTCCGTTGTGATATGGGGAGGGGGCATTTTTCATGGTAATAGAATTCTTCCGGCGGCACCTCTTGATTCACGACGGAGTCGTACAGAAGGTCGCGTAGCCGGTATCAAAGTGAAAAATCCCACCGCCCCATACTCAAAATAGAAATTTGTGATGCAGATTTGTGGCCACAAATCAGCTTTGTCATGCTAGAAGGGAAAAGATGCCGACTGTAGTGCTGGTTGGCGTGGGAATAAACCTTTGCGTCTTCAACATAACAGAAAACAACTAAAAGTGGGAAACAGCATGACAAATTGCCTGTAGACGAGGCCACAGCTGCGTCTCTTGGCCACCTTCTAGCATTACAAGTCGATTTGTGTCCTCAAATACAGCATCACAAATTTCGTTTTCGATATGGGGGATTTTTCCTACTGATAGCCGGTCTTTTTGTAGGTCGCGAGGAATCAAAGGGACGCCGACGGCGAAAGTGGGAGCGGGAGCAGGACTTGCTTGTACAGAGGTGGTGGATGCGGTCTTCTTAGAAGATGGCGTCGACGTGACAGGAGTGCCTCCCGCAGTGCTCGGAGCGAGCGTCGTATCCACTTCCGTAGGAAATCCAATTTTACCGCCGGCCTGCTGCGCAGCAGCGCCTGCAACTCCAGGTGTTGTAGCCTCCCCGTCGGCTGGAGTTGGATTAGGAGTTGGAGCTTCCTTTTTCGACGCAAATCCAAAGCGGTGCGCCTCCTTGGTGTCGGCTTGCAAACTCGGTCGCCAGAACGGCCTCCGGAGGCAGAAGGACGACCAAAGATGAAGCGCAAGCAGTGTAGATACTGTGGCTGTGTTGAAGAAGCGGGAAGGTGGTGCTGCGGCTACCATGGTGCTTGTTTTGCTACATAAATGAGCGTCGTTTTCGATGATGGAATTACTACACTAAATGCATCTTGCTCTTACATAGAGAGAGAAGGCACTAGACTCCTCCTACAACCTCGTTGCAGGTTATTTGCGTTGTTTCTACGCACAAGCGAGAGCGTTGTTGTCGACGAAGGAAGCAAAATACCACTACGAGGTGACACTTAACCATGTCCATGTTGCACTCACATGCTTCTTTCCGCGAGGTGCAAGTGGAAAATGACCACTGCCGGAAGTTCCTGTGGATTTAAACTGTTTGGTTTTTCAACTAGTGCACGGCTTTTACTGGTCTTGCAATGCTGACCGCCTGAAAAAGCTGCTCTGCATCAGAGAGACGTCCGCCTTTGGTCGTGCAAAACTAGCAGCGGTGAAAACACATATGAAAAGGGGACCTCCTGGCGGCTGGACAGCATAGCAAGTGTATATTGTAAGCAGCACATGCCTTGCTGCATATTCGCCACGCGTGCTGGCGGGTTGCAATCCCAATTGGGGCACTCACTCGGAACAGTTCCAAGAGCTCCGTGCGCTGGTTATGGAACTGCAGGCAAGCCGTGGGGAAAACTCGAAAAGGGCCCGCGGGCGTGCGCTACAGGTGTATGGATCCAACCAAAAGCTGCACAAAACTTACAATGTGCTCTCCCCTGTGGAAATACATTTTTTGGGCAGGTGACGTCCTGGATTCCAAAGGGAATATTGCGCCTTCAGGTCAGTTCATTCTCCAACCTGGAGCACCAGTAGGCGGCAGCGTATCTCGCACTCACTGGGCCCTTGCTCGAATGCGACTACAATCATTGAATAGGAAAAATACAACTGCCCATAATTCTTCATCACGTTGTGCTCGCACCTCTGCGGCAAGCTAAGCGCTATTTTGCTTGTGTGTTTGTTATTTGCTTGTTTTCAATTACGACTTTCCTGCTTGTTCCTTCATGTTCATGTTACGCGGCCACGAGTTCGCGGCTTCGTAGGTAAGAACTTGCAATAGTGGCAAAAGCACGCACTCACAGTGGAAGCCCGAAACTGCAGATCGGCTGCTACGACCCTGCGAAAAGGGAGACGCCAGCTCCATCACGAAGAAGTATCTACCTTCTCGCGCGGAGAAGATGTTGGCGAAATCGCGCGCAGCACACGGGCCGACCCTCCGGAGGTGAGTATAAGCTGCTCAGGTGTTACAGTCCCAAATGTTGCGAGAGAGTTCGGATACTGTCCCCAAGACAGTATCCGCTACTGCAATGCTGGAGATTTTAACACCTGAGCAGCTTATAGTAGGCGGAGACGGTTTTTCGTATATGTTGGTGATATGCCCGACGCCACCTCCTCGCGACATGACTATCCTGAGGAAAAACGTCCCCGCCCCAGCAAAGTTGATATCAGCACAAAGATTTGCAATTACAGGAATGCTGGTAATGCGCATCCCCGTGAGAAGCATCCGGTTCTAGTCGTTATTTGGTACAATTTGTAATGCTATAGAAGATCGAGGATCAGCAGATGGGCTTGTGAAGATGCCCTTATCTCTGCTAAACTGGTGCAGTAGTACACTACAGACAAAAACTTGTCCTGCGTGCCTCCCAGATAGATTCGTGCATTTGTACTGCAGAGTTCCCCACTTGACTATGGGGCGCGGGCCCAGTTTTTTCACAGGATAGTGATTTGCTTCCAGTTAGTGCCAATGTAAGGCCATCGCTTTGGTCCGTACAGGCGATGTGCGGTCCAGAGCAGCGAGTCAGCACCCGCAGGCAAGCCGACCATCTATCAAAATGAAAAAATCCTGCTCCCCCCATCAAAAAGGAAATCTGTGACGCGGGACGTGTGTAAACAAAGCAGCGCTGCCTTGCAGTAGATGACTGCAGCCAAATAAAAAACCTGGGCAGGGATGTTTTGAATGAGGTATACGCCTAGCATGACAGACGTCCGCCCTGTCGCCCTGTTGACCCGTACCATTACAAATCGCCTGCATAATGCGGCGCAAGCTCTACTGGCCTTGCTCTCTTGCACGACAGCCACGATTTGTGATCACTAATCCAGCACCACAAATTTGCAAAGGCATGCCTTTTCGATATGGGGAGGAGGGATGTTTCCTTGGGATGCCACCAGGTTGCCTTATCAGAGTGCCAGGATCGAAATCGATAAAGCTGAAGCAAAACCTTGCAACGTACACAATGAAACTACTTGCCACACAGCGCGTGTCTTGGACAGTCGGTATGTGGGGCCGATTATACTTCAGCCTGTTTAGGGATAGAAATAGAGCAGCTAAGAATAGCATGACAGAAGCAGTCTTCTTTGCCCAAACACCGCGACAGACTGGATTTCCGCCCTACCAAAACTTGTCATGCGCCACTGAGAAGCTGAGGGCCCGACTCGTATCGATTTTATGCATTGCAAATCATTTCAACTACTTTGTCGCTTTCTCTAATCCTGACACTTCCATATGCCTCCGTCGCGCGTGACACACCACGACCTCGCTACCTGTAAGACGTCGCCCCATGGATTCAATGCGTCGCCATATCGGCCCCGTCCATCCTGTGGAAAAACGCACGCCCCTACAGACATATTTACACGCAAACTTACATTCCACCCAGCAGAACTTTGCACACGGCTCCCCATTGACGGGTTTTTGTAGTCGTTTTTGGGGGATTTTGTCATGCCCTAGTCACGAGCCAAAAACGAGCATAATCATTTCGGACGCGGCAGCTACATCAACTGCCAGGCTTGACTACACTGCGCGTTCGGATGAAAACCTTTCATGCAGCGTTTAGACGGCAGCAGCAGCTTTTTGATTTTTATCGCCAACCCTTGACAGTGACAAAAATATGGGTCTGGTACTATTGGTTTTTACTCACAGTGGATACAGTCCGGAATGTTCAAGCGAGGAGAAGCTGGACACGACGTCGAACTTCGGCAGCGCGCCGGTCTTCCATGCCTCCAAGAATTCTCCGGGTAGCATGGTTTTCACGTTCGGGTGTTCGGAGTGGATCACCCCATATTCCAATGTGATCACTTGCTTCGCACCTGCACCCAGGGCACACGCCTCCACCCAGGGCGTCTCGCTGCCGATGACCAACACAGTCCCGTTTTTTGTGCCCGGCGCGGCCGCAAATGCTTCGAACATCTTGGTTGATGGTTGAACGCCGTACGTGCCGGAGAGCCTCCCCGTGCGGCATTTTTCGGCGCTCTCCTGCAGCATTTCCTTGGTCCAGGTTTTTGGCGTATCTCTCTTCGTGTTAAACTTTACTTAGGACATCCTGAGGAAAAGCTTCCCTCCCTCCATTGCAACCGCATCACAGGAAAGATTTGCGCTGTTGATTTTTGTCCGCAAGAAGTTCCGCCTCTGTCTTGCATACTTGGGAAGCAAGAGCGAAAGGAAGCAATGGGCAGGCAATCTGTGACGCGAATTTGCCTACCGAGTCAAGAACGTCTAGCACGCGGAAGAGCTAGACTGCGAGAAAATCCCCAAAAAGTAGACGCAGGGTGCGCCCGCAGAAGGTTTCTTGCTGCAAGACAGGGCTGATTCTGCATCACAGTTTTTTTCTTGTGAGGGTGGGGCGGGGAATTAATGATTTTTCGCCATGATATGGGAAAAATACGCGCTCTTGATCGGCACCTTGCCGCCGAGGGTGTAATCCCACTTCAACAGCTGCGGAATGACCTTCGCAGCTTTCGGTGCGCCGGCTGGGCAGTCCGCGTACGGCATGTTCATCAGCTTCTCACTATCAAAAGGAAAAATCCCCCTCCCCATATCGAAAAAAAACTTTGTGATGCTGGATTTGCGTACACAAGTCATTACTTGGCTCGCAGTAGAGGACTGCAGGCCCACACCATGCCAATGCGGAGAGGTTTTGGCCTAGGCACTTAGCATGAGGAACGTCTTCTACGCTGTAGGACCGACAGCATTACAAACCGCCTGAATAATGGGTCGGAGTCTACGTCGATGCTTTCTTGCAAGACAAACACCATTTGTGGTCACAAATCAGCATCACAAATTCCCTGAGGCGCTCCTTTTCGCTATGGGGAGGGGGGACTTTTCCTTACGATACTCACAGTTGAAAGGTGCCACACTCGTTCGGACCGATATAACTTGCTCAGGTGTTACAATCTCAAGCGTTACAATAGAATATGGAAATCTGTGATGCAGGAAGTGCATGATTTACCGTAGTCCCATAGGTTTGCGCATGGCAAGTTTCTGCACCCAAAACCCCATTGATATCTGGCGAAATTTGTATTGCGAAAGGCGCAACTCTACATAAGTTCCTCATGCGCTTCATGCAAGACAAAATCCAGACTCTATTGTGACGTTTGAGACTGTAACGTTTGAGCAGGTCATAACCGCGTGGAAGTTTTTTTTCGCGCCCGCCTTCATCTCGCTCACGTCCTCGACTTTGCACAAGTCGCCGCAGACCTCCTTCACCTTTTTGAAGTACCCGTACGCGACACCCTCGTCGGCACTTGCATGGTTTGCGATGATTTTGTCGCACGACAACGGCCCGAGCCTGCTCTTTTTCCCGTCGCCCCCGCCCCCAGCTGGGTCCGCCTCGTCGGCCCACAGTTTTGCGGCCTCTTCTCCAAGCGGGACGGCGGAACCATCTGTGGCGGAGTTTGGGGATGCGGCCTTTGTTGCAGTCGGGGTCGTGATTATCTTCTTTTCAAGGTCTTGTTGTTGTGGCTTGATTCCCGCTGTTGCCTGCCCCTGCTCTGTTGCGGCTTTGGAGCTCGTTCCTTGTGTTTGGCCGCTTTCGGATTGCTGTGGTTTCTGCGATTGTATCCCACGAAAAAACTGCTTCACTGTGATGGTTTTGCAAGATCCGCATCACAAGTTTGCTGCACACGACACAGAAAATTTGCCATACGCGCTTTCAAAGGGAAAACACGCTTCAAAATCCCATGCCTTGCAGGTGTAGCAAGACAAAGTGTTCCATTCTATGCATCACAAGTTCACAGTGAAACAGTTTTTTCTTGCGATAGATTGGAGTGTTGAAATAGTGGTCCCGGACTGCAGGAGCTGCGGCGAAGTTCCAGACGAGCGCACCTCGCGCAGAAAGTAGCCGCTACCGCAGGATGCCGCCTGGTTGCCACCCCCAGACTGCCACAGTAACTGACGGAAAGCAAAAACGCAACCCAGGGTTGCGCAGACATACAGCAGTGGGGAAAGCTTGGACATCCTTTATTTTTTACTAGCCTTGATGTTTCAGCCTCGACTTCTGCTAACTCGGTCAGTGGTTTCTTTCTTCGCCTCGTTTTTGGGCTGGGTTGCGGGGGTCTAAATGTTTGGCACCGTGGTCCACAGTCGAGAGCAGGCAGGTGCTTGGCTTCTTCGGCGTTTATTTCCCTCTGCAGCAAATCAAAAAGACCTTGAAACGCAGTTCAAGAGAGAGCGCGCTGGGCCAGCATTCTGACGAAGTTTACTCGATCGCTGCAGACAAATGAATATGCCAGGCGAACGAGCTCGGGAGCTGGCCGCGTTGCTAGAAACAGCAGCCTTCTTATATTGCCATGCAAAGTCAAAAAGTAAAGTGTTTGTTGTAGAGCACAATAGCCGGAGCGAACTTCTGCGCTGAGTTAGAGATGCTTATACGCACTCCCTCGTACTATAGAAACGGCAGCCTCCTGCTTATTATGGGTCCTTCCTCGCTGTTGGTTCCGACTAGAGGTCTAGACGCACTCAGCTACGTGGCTATTGATAAGCTGTACGGAAAAAGATGAGACTATCGAACCGCTTGCGTCTTGCGTGCCACCATAGAACCACGAACTTCTGTCGTCTGGACGCCATTCTTTCCGACATCAGTGCGGGCGTTTGGTTTATTCGGCTACTATCACAACAAGAGCTGTTTTGGACTATTGTCTCGCACGGCACGTTTTTCAACCTTGGGGACGAGGGTCCAGCGGGGCAGTGCTATTTCTTTCCCCGGGTCGCGGGGCAGTACTCCAGGCTCAAAGCCTTGGGCCCCCAATAGCATGCGCCCTCTACCAGATTAGCCTGCTTCGGGACCTCAGACAGCAGAGGGTAAATCCACTGCGACCCGAACAGCGGGCGAATTATGGGATGCTTTTCCCAACGGTTTCCCTTCACTCCGAAAAGCAACTGGAGCCCGCCTCCTATCACTATGGCGCTCCGATTGTGCTTGCGCCGGCAGTAGGCGGCCAGGGGGAAGCCGTAGGCCCCGGCCGCGACCAGAGCCACGTCGAAGTGGCCAACAGCGTCGATGGCCTTCTGCATCACTTTGAGCGACTCTGTCCAGCTTGCGTGGGGCCTGAGGCCGCAACAGGATTGCACCGAGGGCACGTATTTTATGGAAAACTCGGGAAGTATGGAGCTGTTGACGTGGCTCCAAATGGTTGGGCGGCGGTCTTCACGCATTTGGCATCGAAAACTTTCTACCATCGCAGCGATGACCAGAACGGTTTTTCCGGCGAGTGCGCTTTATCAAAGTGAAAAATGTTACCGCCGCCCCAGAATATGAAGGTGTTTGTGTTGCAAAAGTTCCCAATGGAAACATCTGCCGCCTTTCTTGTATCAGCGTCACGCGTTATTTTCGAACAAGAATAGCAAAAATTTCAGTTGCAAAAAGGCCCATTACAAGGCTGGGCTGTCAGCTAGGAACTTCTTCGCGTGCCTACACTCTGCATGAGAGACAGCGTTCCAATCCAAGCACGCATAGGTAAAAAGATTCGCATTTGAAAATCTTATGCAACACATATCGTTTTTGAAACTTCTGGGGTTGGGACGGGACATCTCTTTTTCATTTGGTACGCTTGACCACGGATTCTCGGGGAAATACCAGGGTTCCAAAAAACGGTTCGGGTAAACCTTGGCCCGGGAGAGCTTGGATTCGAGAGACGCTATCTCTCCATTTGGTCGGGTTGAATAATCGAACGCTGCGATGAGATCGTCCTCAGTAAGCTCGGCCAGGGAGCGCGACAGCTCCTTGGCGTAGGCGGCGACCCCGTCTTGTGTCATGGGATAGATTCCCGCATTGATGTATAAAAAGGAAAATGAATCCCCCCTCCCCATATCAAAATGACGTTTCTGATGCTGAATTTGCGTACTTATACAAATACGCTCTATAATTTTCTTGCAGTAAGGCACTGCGGCCAGATCTGTAGCCTAGGTAGGGGCGTCTGGGTCTAATTGGTTAGCATTGACGCTGCAAACGACTGCCCTCTAGGCTCAACAGGATGCCAAATCGCTTCCATTATGGCACGGAGGCCTGTGCAGTTGTCTTCTTGCAAGACAAACTTGATTTGTGGTTACAACTCAGCAGCACACATTTGCGAAAACATACCTTCTCAAAATGGGCAGGGGGGATCATTTTTCCTCTGAATATAATGGTGGCGTCCTTCAGGAGCTGCGTTCCGGCGCTTTTCGTATTCCCGAGAATCATCGCCTGCGCAACCTGCGCCTCTGCCCCTTTATAGGAAAGGCGTGCCGCGACGAAAACCTTGTCGCTGCGCAGTAGCCGCAGAACCTCATCGTTGCCGGCCCTCGCGGTCGCCGTGTACCTCTGCTTCGGAAGCTTTCCGAGCGTTTATGCAAGAAAAAAACTTCTTCTGTGCAGCTATTCTGAGTGTAAAGTTTAAGTTATATAATATGTGCAGCAGAACTTCTATGTCAAACAATAAGCACTTGTCGTACCAGAAAGCCACGAATTGTCAACTTCTCATCGCTGTTTTCATATAGACCGATAGTACAACAACTAAGTTGCGGAGGAACTTTATTGTCATGCCTTCCCTCGAAGACACCTCCTAAGCAGCTGCGCATGACAAACTTTCTCTGTCTTGTTTCGGAAGAAGTTTATTGTCATGCCTCTCCTCGAAGACAACTACTACACTAATCGACAGCTGATTTTCTCTACTTGGATAGCGTTCTTGGAAAGGGTATTAAGAGGAAAAATTCCCCCTCCCCATACCAAAAAGAGGCACTTCTGAAAGTTTGTGATGTTGATTAGTGAGCGCAAATCGTCTCTGTATTGCAAGAAGGCAAATCCAGATTATACTCCGCCGCATTTTGCAGGCAATTCGTAATGCTGTAGGGCCTACATAGGACACGCCTGCCTTGCTAGGTGCCTACACGAAAGCACCCTGCTCAGACTTTATATCTGCCTGCAGTCCTTCACCCCAAGACAAATCCGATTTGTGTACACAAATCCAGCATCACAGATTTCCTTTTCGATATGGGGAGGGGGGATTGTTCCTTTTGATAAAGTGCAGATCCAGATTAGAGTGGTCCTCCGCAAAGTGAACGGGCTCGGGCCTTTATCAAAGTGAAAAAAGCCCCCACCCCATATCGGAAACGGAAGATGCGCGAATTTGTGATGCTGTGTTTGAGTACACAAATCAACTTGTATTGCTAGAAGGCCAAGAGACGAAGCTGCGGCCTAAATTGCAGGTAATCTGTCATGCCGTTTCCCACTTCCAGTTGCCTCCTGTCATCCTGGAGCTGCAAGGCTTTCCCACGCTAGACAGCACTACAGTCCGCATCTTTTGCCTTCTAACATCACAAACTGATTTGTGACCACAAATCTGCATCACAGATTTCCATTTTGATATGGGGAGGGGGCGTTTTTCATTGTAATAGCCTTTTTCGGGGTCGCGCGAGGTGTGATGATGTTGGCAGTGTGCCCTTTAGCGGACTGCTGCGCGCTACTCCCACCTCCAGCCCGAGGGCAGCTGAGCGCCGGTGTCGCACGAGGCAAAAGAAGAAAAAAAGAAAATACGCGATCACCAGCGACCGCGCGAGACGGTCCAGGCCCAGCACGCAGAGCATGGAATGGCGAGGCTATCAAGACGAAAGAAACACTCTGTCCTTGTGCCACGTCACGAAAGCCGTCGCTTGTGTAGTGGTCCTTCCCCCTTCTGCGTCGACCATACTTCTATATGTACTTTTATTTGTGTCCCTCGGTACAGAATAATAAAGTTGCCCCGAGGGCGAGGTCGTGGGGTACTTTACTACCCCACTTCTGCACGAGGGCGCAGGAACTGCTGCGTCCGCGTATGACATAGTACTACGCAAGTAGGCTTGAAGACGTAACTGACCTCAACCACGGACTTGAAGTCAAAATTATGAGGAAGTTTACTAGGGGCGCGCTTCAGCGCGCCGCACCAGCATAGTTTAGTTTCATTTTAGAACATCTGATCTCCGCGTAATCTGATTGGCTAAGTTTATGCACGCTGGTGCAACTGCACTACTTTACATTCTTGGTCGGAGAGCGCTATTTGTGTTAATGCTCGCAAGGGAGTTGTAAGTTGCACTTCTAAAAAAGGGGGCGGCAAAAAGGTTGCTCGTCATGCTTGTCATGATCCTTCCGCTGGCTGCTTTTCCTTCATTTCACTTTTCTCTATCGGGGAGAGCAGAAAAAACTCATCTCACACAGTAGCTGCACTGCTACTTCCGGCACACATGGAGCCCGTGCAGGTCGATGCCCACAGATTTATTCACAGGAACAAGGTAAAAAAACCAGCATTACATACAAGTTCCAACCTTCCAGACCCAGATCGATATTTGCAGGTTATACGGCCGCTCTGGGGTGGAGCTTTTGAATGGAGGATAGCTCCAACTACGTACTACAGCCAAGGACGTTCCAGATAAACTGTGCCACGCTCGCCTGAAGAACTGGCAGTGGCATGTGGGCATCGGTCTGGCGCTGCCAGGCTTGGCTGCTAGGAAACGCGGGTAGAACCGGAATATGTCTTTTGTCCATTTCCTCGGCGGCGTACGTGTTCCAGAGCCGCATGAAAGAGTGGCCACGGCGATCCTGGAAGCCGCGGACGAACCCGTCGTTGCGAAACGGAAAGTCGTTCAAATCGTGCCAGTAAATCGGCTTGCCGAACTTTTTCACCGCCGCCGCAAAACCCGCACCCCGGGCCTATCGCAAGCAAAAAACCCCCCTCCCCATATCGAAAAGGAAGCCGCGGGAAATCTGCGCTGCTGATTTGTGGGCACAAATCGTCCCTGTGTTGCAAGAAGGCAACCCCACAGCAGGCTACGCCGCATTATGCAGGCGGTTTGTGAAGATGCTGGTGGGTCTACAGTGTGGACATTTGTAAAAATGCTAGGCGCCTATGTGAAAACCTCGCTGCCCAGGGTTGGCGTATGCCTGCAGTCCTCTATTGCAAGACAGATGTGATATGTGTACAACGCAAATCCAGCATCACAGATTTCCTTTTCGATATGGGGACGGGGGATTTTTCCTTTTGATAGAGCCGAAACTGTCTCCACGTACTTCGCTGTTTTTATCACACAGAAAAAAGCTGCCGAGGGCATTGCTATATATTCTCTCCATCTCTGTCGACCTCTTTTTGACCTCCCCGCCACCTCTGCCTCTGTAGACCTCTTTTTTCGCATGAACATAGTAGATAGCAATGCCCTGCCAGGCTTTTTCTCTGGGGTAATTTTCCAGCGGGAGTTACCCGCAGAGGAGTGCTGGCCCATCCCGGCAATGACCAGGTCAAAGTTATCAAAATGAAAAATCCCCCCTCCCCATATCAAGACGGAATTTCTGACGCTGGATTTGTGTACACGAATCAGCTGTGTATTGCAGAGAGGCATTGCGGCCAGATCCCCAGGCTAGGTAGGGGCGTCTGGGTCTAGTTGTTCAGCATGGCAAACGGCGTCTCTTTAGGTCCAACAGCATGGCGAATCGCTTCCATAATGGGGCGAAAGCTTCTGCCCTTGTCTTCTTGCAAGACAAATGTGATTTGTGACCTCAAATCAGCAACGCAAATTTTCGGAAACATACCTTTGCAATATGGGGAGGGGGGACTTTTCCTTCCGATAAAAGTTCTGAAGATTGGACTTCTCGGGCGTCTGTGCCAGCTGGGTGTTGAACACGTCGTGCTGCACGCACAGCTTGATGTTTTTGCAACGGTCCGGGAGGCCATTGCCTTCGAGGCACGAATTCGAGTGCCACCCACCTAGAGGCCCCTTGGGCCCGCAAACGTGGCTGACGAGGGCGTTGTAGAGCGTGCGCGCGTGTGAGTCTCCCACCACCAGGATGCCCTTGCCCTGCAGGCACTGCGCTATCCTGTGTAAAAACGTCCCCACCCCAGAGTTGTCATGCAAATGCGCAATGACAGGAACATTTGTAATGCGCATTTCCAAGAGAGGCATTTGCACTCGTGTTTTTGCATTTGTAATGCTGTAAACACGATGAGAAAATGGCTTTCATTTCATGCGCCTTTGCTTGCTAACCAGCACTACACTGCAGATGAGAACTTCTCATGCAGGACTCTCAAAACTTGGGGGCCTGTGTTGTAGATTTCCCATCTTGACTCAGGTGTGGGGACGTTTTTACCCAGGATATGCGCGGCGCGGTCCCCAGGCAAGTACGGCAGGTGGCAGTTGCGCGGCTCCCACACGTAGTGATCCTTGAAGGTTCCCAAATTCTATGCAGTGCAAATATCGACGATCTGGGTTTGGAAGGGTTTTGCAACTTGTGATGCAGATTCTGGAATAGGAAAAATTTTTGGATGCATCCGCGCCAAAAGCGGCCCATTTCTTACTAGGCAAATAAGCATTTATTTGTCCTCGTGCACTCTACCAGACCCAGACATATTTGCAATGGATAAATTCTCGCGGGCCACCATTTCTGGGCGGTACGCGGCCAGCTTCGCACAGAAAAATGCAGGCAGGTCAGATTTGTAATGCAAAAATGAATCCACAAAAAAATCTGCACTGCATGTCCTAAACAGCATGCTATGGGGTTGCCCATGGCAGATTTTTCTGCGTACCTATTTTTGCATATATGAAAATGCCCTACCTGCTTTTTTCTGTGGGATAGCCAGCTTCGCGTCTCCCGCGGTGCCGTTGCCGCGAAAAACCCAGCGGCCTATCCTGAGCAAAGATCAGGGGCCGCCCACACCCCAGAATCAAGATGGGCACGATGCTGCAACACAGATCCAGAGGTTTTGGGCGCAGGCATGACAAATTTCTCTCTGTACTGTAGTTCAGCAGGTTAGTACTTCTAGCAAGGACCACAGCCGTGGACGCATTACAAATGTCACCTGCAGCTCCTCATCCTGTTTTCAGCATTACAAATGTCAAAAGTTCGTACACGATTTGAAATAATAATGCCTCTACTGAAGTAGACGATGGGGACGGTTATGCGCTCTATCCTGGAATTATCAGAAATCTGCATGACAACTCTGGGGTGTCGTGGGCCCCGTTTTATTTCCACAGGATACGGCCAAACCCGAAGTCACCCGGATTTTTCTTCAAGTCGCACCGAGGAAGTTGCTGTTGAGCGGTTCCGGCAGCGAGGACGTCAGCAGCTCCAGTTGTACTGGTTGTGCTTGCGCCCCCCTCCGCGGCGGCTCCACTTGTTCCCAAGTCTATGAACACCTGCGAGCCTAGAACGTCGTCGTTGTTCCCTGCTATCCACTTTCTCGGCTCCGCTTCGCTGATTCCCCTCCACCGCTCCCGCTGCATCCACAGTTCGGCGCGGTAGCGTCCCGGCGTCGTCACGTTGTACAGCAGCTGGTACTGGCAGTCCCCGAGGACTCGAAAACCCGAGGGGTCCGTTATCCTGAGCAAAAATGTCCCCACCCCAGATTTGTCATGCAAACCTGCATGCCAAAAAGGTTTCTCATGCGGAGCCCCAAGAGAGCCATTTTCTGGTCCTGTTTTGGAGTTTGCAATGCTAGAATCAGCACGATGTGCTACATCTGTAATGCTTCGCAACTAGCTAAACAGGATTACACTACGGAGATAAACTTGTCATGCGAAACAACCAGAGGTGGCTGATTTGTCTACCGGATTTCCCATCTTGAATCTGGTGTGGGGACATTTTTACTCAGGATATCCGTTAGTGCGTGAAGCTCCGGTCCCAACAGGTAGAACTCGAACTCGTCGGACCCAACCAGCTTCTTGACACGCTGCACGTAGGCGGCATCATTGGAAAAAGTCACGTTTCCTTCCTGACACCGCAGGTTTCGGACGAAAAAGTGCCCACGCGTCGCGGTTTCTGGGCACCGCCACACATCATACTTTTTCGTGATGTTGCCGTCCACCGCTGCGACGTCGCAAGGGCCCGCGTACCTCGTGCCATTTTCAAAGCCGGCGTCCCGTGACGGCGCCACTCTTTCCCACGCCGTTGCGCATGGTGCTACTGATTTGTCCGGAATCGCAGACGGTCTTAGAAACTGATCTGTTTTATTGCCGCCGCATGGAGCCGCGCCTTTCTGCTTCGCCAGGCCACCTCCGCCCTTTTTCCCGCCGAGCAGTAACGTTTTTGAAGAGTTTGAGCCTATTCCAATGAAAAATCCGCCCTCGTTGTCCCCAGCATAGTACTCAAACGGAGATTTGATGTGTCTTGTGATTTGTGATCACAAATTTTAAATATTTACGTGGTCATGCAGCTACAAGAAGGGAAGTAGAGATCATGCGGACCGTAGTGCCGACTGGCGTTGGGAACAACAAGCCTTGCGTCTTCAGCATGTTGTTACTCAGTTATACAACCCCTGCATCATCACTTCGCTCGAAGTCTGCTACTGTATTTGAGTACCCAAATGCCACGCCTTTGGGTGTCCAAATACCTACATAATATGCGCCGAATTCTTGTGGAAGTGTGCGAGGTTTTGGCGATAGAATCGCCATGATGATTCGACCAGCGACCCAACTTCGACAAGCAAGCAAAATCAGCCGGCGGGGCGGTTTTGTCTGTGCGCATCTTAGAGAGAGCTGGCTTTTAGCGTCGCTGCGCCAAGCCAAGGCCGCGAGTCAAAATTGCCGGAAAATCGCCTCTGTGCCCTTCTTACTCGCAGCGCCAGGCCTGAGGCCGCGGGGCAGTGCAACTACTGCCTTGCGGTGGCGCAGCAACAGGCACAAGGCCACAAAGCAAAATCGCCGGGAGATCGACTCTGTGCCCGTCTTCGTTGCAGGCAGCGCCAGGTCTAAGGCCGCGGGGCAGAATAAAAGTGCCGGAAGACCGAATCTGTTCCCGCCTTAGCCGCAGTGCCAGGCCTAAGTCCGCGGGGCAGAATAAAACTGCCGGGAAATCGATTATGTGCCGCTCTTAGCAACAGCCGCGCCACAGTGTCGCAGCGCCAGGCAGGCGCGAGGCAAGATTGCCGGAAAACCGAACCTGTGCCCCTCTTGACAAGCGGGATGCTGCAGCGTGACAGCGCCAGCAATCCCAGCCCTGGGGCAGCGGGGCAAAATTCCCGGCGCGCCGGCCTCGTTTCGTCAAGGTCGCGCGGCAAAATTGCCCGAAAATCGATTTTGTATGCCTACTAGCGCGAGCGGCGTTGCGGTTCCGCAGCGCCGCTCTTGCTAAAAGACATACAAAATCGATTTCCTGGCAATTTTGCCGCGCGGCCTAGGGGCCGGCTGTGCGACACCGCTACGCCGCCTTTGCTCAGAAGGCGACCGAGCAGTCGGTCGGCTCTCCGGCAATTCCCCCCGGCGCCTTCCGGCCTGGCGCTGCGGGGCTGCGGCGCCGCCCTTGCCAAGAGGGGCATAGAATCGATTTCCCGGCAATTTTGCCCCGCGGCCTTAGACCTGGCGCTGCCGCTCGCGCTGCGGGGGGCACAAAATCGATTTTGTGGCAACTTTGCCCCCCGGCCTTGGGCTTGGCGCTGCGACACCACAACGCCGTGCGTTGTAACAACGGACTGCGTCTGGCGTTGGTAACATCAAGCCTTGCGTCTTCAGCATGTTGACACGCAGCATCTGGAACGACGGGAAACTGCGCGAGAACATATGTCTGCAGACAAAGCCGCAACCGCGTGTAGTCTTGGCCTCCTGGCAATACAAGTCGCTTTCTTTGTGTACGCAATAGATCATACAGCACTACAATAAACTTCTGCTTCGATATGGGGAGGGCAGATTTTTTCCTCTCGATAGAGCCCGCGCTAGTACTGGTAGAAGTCGTACCTCCCGCCGACTTATCCACTTCAATTATCCCTGGATGTCTGGAAACTTATGATGCTGCTTGGCGAAAAATCATGCGGGCGCCTCCATTGACAGCCAAGCATGACAAGTTGTTTTTCAGTTACTGTAAGTATTGTTGTGCTGTCTTTGCATCACAAACTGCGTCGCTGTATTGCAGAGAAATGTGGCTTTTGGGATATAACTTAACGCGCATTACAGAGTTGGAAGCTGTGGTAGCCTCGCATGACAAACCTTGCATCCTTCCAGACATCGTCCAGGGATCATATTTGCAGTTGATACGAGGTGCTGGACGAGGCAGCGCCGCCTGTTATTTGCTGCGTTTCTGTTGCTTGCAAGACCTGCGCAGTCAGCTGTGCGTTCATCTCGTCGGGCTTATTGCGAGGAGAAATTCTCCCTCCCCATATCGAAAAGGAAATTCGTGATGCTGGACTTGCGTAGGAGGATTGCCTTGTAATATTGCTAGAGGGCTAACAGACCACACAGCTGCGGCCCCGTTTGCAGGCATCTTGTCATGCTGTTTCCCGTCGTTCCAGTTGCTTCTGTTCATGCTGGTGAGGACGCAAGGCTTAGTACCGCCCACGCCAGCCAGCGTTACTAGTACAGTTCGCGTCTCTACTTGTACTTCCCTTGTAGCATATGACAATCAATCGGTGACTTGTGATCACAAATCATGGTACACAAATCTCCGTTTGAGCGTGGGGAGGGTCGTGGATTTTTTATTGGAATAAAGCTGCTTCACGCGTTTTCGGAACCGCTTCACGGCGTCGACTAGTTGAAGCCGACTCACTCGAGGGTCTTCCAAGTCAAACTTGTCCAGCTCCTCTGATGAGAATCGCCCCCCCGGTCCGGCTTCCAGGGTTGGCGCACCATTCCCGCAGGAGAGGACTACTCCGTTCTTCGGCATTTTTTGTAAAGATTCTCCTTTATTAGTGCTTTGATTCTTTTCCCTGTCCCCGGGGACAGGCGCCAATGGGGAAGATGTTCCTGCTGGTTCTACTCCCTGTGGTCGTGCACCTGTCCCCGAATGATGCTGTGTCTTGACACACACGACTGCTCCTCCACCATCTGTTACCTGCACCGCAGCAAGCAGAATCCGCGTAAGCACGATCTGCAGTAAGAGAAGGACCAAACACGCGGCGGTACCGAGGCCGAGCCGTCGTCTCGACATGCTTGTTCCGTGAATGCCCTCCCTGGACGACGTCGCCCGAGGATCATGTTTTTCCAACATATGATCCTGCTGCTGCTGACTAAACGACGAGGTTGTCGCACTCAACATCAAATGCCGCCACCGAGAAATAATATGCTCCGCTTCTATCCCAAGAAAAAAGCGTTACAGTTACACACTTGTCGAACAAGCGGCGTTGGCTTGCAAACTTGGTCGCCAGAACCACCTCCGGAGGCAGAAGGACGACCAAAGATGCCGCGCAAGCAGCGGAAGTACTGCGGCTATGTTGAAGAAGCGGGGTGGTGTTGTGGCTACCATGATACCTTTTGTGCTGCAAAAATCAGCGTCGTTTTCGATGGCGGGATCATGATACTAAATGTGCTTGCTCTTACATAGAGAGAGACGACAAGAACCATAGGTTCCTCTTGCAACTTTTTTGCAGTTCATGTAATTTGTGTTGATTCTACGCACGAGTCCAGGCGTAGGTAGCCAAATCATTTTGCCACGCTAGCAATACTAGTAAGCCTCGCCCAGTAGAGATGAAGCGAAGTCAAGATTGAAGACACCAACAAGAACGCAAATGATTCAGCCAGGCGTCCGCGCAAAGTTCAGACCTTTTCTCACACCCGTCCCCGCGGAGATTATTCGACTTCTCACGTAAATATTTTCGTTCCCTGCGCAATATTTTTGCATTTCCATCGAGGTCCCAGCAACATGACCTTGAAAGTAGAAGCGTTGCCCTTCGACGCTCCTTCGCTTGTTGAAATTCTTTCCTTACCGCACAACTTCAAGCAGAGAAAAACAGACTTAAGATGATACAGAAAATGCGTCCGCGACTGCCAAACCTTAGACAGCATAGCAACTCCGCGCCTCTCGGAGCGCCTTGATTCGTTATTCTACCAACCAAATAGTGCGCTGCAGAATCCTCCGCTATCTATAGATAGACTCTCTCTTAAGATACTTTCTTGCGCCTAGCAAGGTGCTGCGCTTGGACAATAAGCAAACAGTTGATGGTGATGGTCACCATGAAACGCTTGAGCGCCAAACTGCGCCGTAACACATAAACCCAGCAAGGACTGCTTACTTTGTGCGCGCACGGTCGTGGATGGTGAAGGTTTCCCGGCGGCGTCCCGGTAGGTGTCCATCTAGCGTTCAACCTCGATTGGCGTCGTGCTCCGAAAACCTGCATTTCTGGCTAGCGACGCCGAAGATCATTCGCTACGCAAGAATCATCAATGACGAAGGAGCAGAGGACTTAGCAGGCCTCTGAATGAGGCATCTCAGCGAGCAGAAAGCTTTCCAGAGCGGCGATTTCCCCTGCATTTATCTCGCGGTCCCGTCCCCAAATCTCCTATTCTGTCTAAAAACTTACCCACCCCATATTTCTTGTCATGCGTATTTGCAAAGTCGTAAAATTATTTCTCACCGTTTTCTAGTCCTGTTTGGAAATTTCATCTCGCGAACTAGTCGCTGGCAGAGGCTGAGTTTGTTCTGCAGCTGGTCTAAAGCTAGGCATGACCACACTGAAGTCGAAACTTATCATGCGCGACGACTCCCAAAAGTTCTGGATTTGTCTTGCGGAGTAAAAGTTCCAGACTTGGCTATAGTGTGGGCACGTTTTCACAAATGGTAGCTGCTCCTCTTTCGTCACTGCGGAGTAGAAGATGGACTCGGAAAGCTCGAGATAATGCAAGCCGCGCGCGATTGCTCTATCCACTGAAAACATGTCTGGGTCCGGAAAGATGCAGCGAATTCGTGTTGCTGAGTCGACGTCCTGGAAAGACGCAGCGGCTCCTTTTGAAACGTCGGCACGACGGGATGCCAAGCTTTAGGAACAATTTCCTTACAGATTCTGTCGTACATCGCTTGCAAAATTGCTCTCTATTTGCACGGCAAAAAAGCAAGCCAGTCTAGGGTTTAGGGTTTAGGGTTCTTCATGCAGTACGGATATTTTTGGTCGCGGCATCCGATAATTCTCGCATCACAAGCCCAGGAGACCCAGACATGTTTGCAATGCATATGCTCGGGAGCGGGCCCATTCGTTGTAGACCCAGTCCGTTGGGCTGATGGAAACTGCGAACGTGCCGGGCTTGGCAATCGAAAATAACCCCTGCCCGGGACCCACTAGGGAAACGAGAACGCATATCGTAAGGGAAGATCCACCCCTGTCCCCATACTGAGAGCGATGCCCATTTGTGGCAACAGATGTAGTTCTACTCCGTCTTGCAAGAAGATGGCAACTCCACAGACTCCGCCGCATCAAGCAAGCGCTTCGAAAAAATGCTGCTGGGCCTGCAGAGCAGAGGATCGATCGGCCACACTAAGTTCCTACAACAGGACACGACCCGTGCCTGTAGTCCCACACAGCAAGCAAACCTATATTGTAGACACCACAAATGAAGCATCACAAGTCCTCTCTTGCGTATTGGCAGGGGGGATTTATTTCCCCAACGATAACGCACGCGGAAGCAAGCGAGCCGGCCAGTGTCGCTGCGCTCGCAAGCTTCGAAGACTTCTGCGCGCTGCCAAGATCTAGGACCTTGTACGAGAGTCCCAGCTTTTTCGCTAAGCGCGGCAGCGCAGTACTATTCAGTGCTGTAGCAGCTGCCTGCGCACCTTTTTGTTTACCCGAATAGGATCCGTCCGCGTGCACAAACACCAGCGTTTTAGGCAGTGTTGCCTTTGCCTGCCGTCGGTCATCACCTGTCCTGCCTTCGTGCTCACTTGCCGCCAGCTCGCGGCGGGGTCCCTCCGGTGCAGGAATGCTAATCAGATAAGGAAGCATTTTATCAAAATCAAAAACAACTCGACCTCGCCATGTTTCGCATGAAATTTATGTAGCATGGTTTGTGATCATCGAGGACGCAAAGTTGTCATGCTACGAAGGAAATAAAAATGCGAATCGTAGTGCTGGCTGGTTGGCGTGATAAAGAACCTTCGCGTCTTCAGTATGAGAAGCAGCAACTTCTACACAGCCGCGAAGTATAGCATGAGACATAGCCTGCAATAAATGAGGCCGCAGGTGTGCTGACGTATCTTGTTGATTTTTTAGCAATGCAAGTCGACATTTGTCGTGTGATTATGATTAACAGATCGCGCACTCGGAATGTTGTGCTTTTGAGTAGTTGTATGACGAGATGGAGAATAATTTTCCCTGCACTACACTTGTGCACCAACAGCATGGCCGTTGCGCGCCCACCTCCTGGCTTCGTATGCCATCGCCATTTCTGCGGAGTCCCAGTTTGTCAAGTCTATTTTCAGCGTTGCAGCGCCCGCCGGACAGGGCGTGGCTTTCGCAGTGTCGCCACGACCCGGGTCCCGCAAAAACACCATGCGGAGCCAAGTTTCGAACTTTGCCGCGCTGCCCTTGACGATCATTGCGCACGGACTGAAGACCCGTCCCGAGTACAGCACCGCGGCTACATACCCAAGTTATCAAATGCAAACATGTCGTGGTGTCTGGGTCTGGAAAGGTGGAACTTGTCATGCTGCTCTTGGATTTTTCCAAAAATATCTGGATTGCCTGAGCAGCAGGAGAAATCTAGTTTTTGTTATGTGAGCAGGACATTTGTTCTCATGCGGGATCGGCATCAAAGAGCACTCAGAACATCTGTGACGCTTCTAGCGAATACATCACAGACGTCGCGGGCCATGTAAAATCTGCATGACAAGTTGTAGCCTTCCAGACCCACACATTATATTTGCACTGGATACAAGTGGTCCCCCAACAAAATCGCCCGGCTCCATGTCTTCACGCTTCATAGTCCCAAAAATTTCTACCTGCGTGGGCTATCAAATGTAAAAATGTCTGGGTCTGGAAGAGTCATGCTGTTTCTGCATGACACGGGAGGTCTGGCATGGAAGCTCTAGCATCACAGGTTTCGAGAAGCTTCCGCAATGCCGAACCCGCATGACAAATCCCTCATTTTGGTGACAGAAAGTGGGCAGCTTTTGCTACCCATGCATGAGAGATTTTTGTGTGTTCTGAAATGCGCATCACAGGTTACATCCTTCCAGACCCAGACATTTTTACAATCCATATGGGCCGGTCCACAACAACCTGTGGCTTATTTTCCAGTAGCGCCCTCGCGGCCCCGGCCGTTTTGTTGAACCCGACGCCAGTAGCTAACTCTCTCCACGCTGCCTGGGTTGCTTCCGAATACCACGCACTGCAGTACCGCAAGTGGTAGAGCTTGTCGGCCTGGAAATGATTCCTCGCGATACCACGGCAAAGATCGCACTCGATCGGGTGAATGCGATCGTCGTAGCCGAAAAGGCGTCCGATGCAGTTTAGGTGCGCGTCCGAAGGCGTGGCTGTCTTATTCACGCGCCATTTGCCCAAGTGCGCCGCGACGCAGTCTTTTGTGTCGGTGCTGCGTGCGCGCTCTAGTGATTTGCCGTGGTTTCGGGCCCAGAGCGGGCGCCCGGGGTCGTGTGCAGCGACTGCTGCTGACGCTGAGCCGGTCTTTAGCTCTCGGCTCATTCCTCCGGTGGTTGAAGATGTGCGTCTCGTCGTTTTTGTTTTCGTTCGACAAGGAGAACCTGGCAGCTCGTGTCGAATGGCTGTGAAAATGTTCTCGATCTCACGCTTGACAGGGTCCCGGCCCAAATTTCTAATGTTGCCCGGATTGGGGAAGCCGTACAGATGCAGTTCTTTGTATTTGCTGTAACCCACGGACTCAATATACGTGAGCCCCCTGGACATCGCGTTATGGAGAGAAAAAAGTTTGTCACACTCACTAACTTGGAGGCTCTGCATTACAAATTTTTTTAGCATCACAGCTTTTGCCTGTATTGCAGAAACACTAAAGGAAATCCCGTATGAAGTTCGGCTGTAGTGCATGTTTCCGCATGACACGCATTTTTTGTATTGCAAAAATGCCCATGAGTGATCGTGACGAACTTTTTTCTTTTGATACGCGTAGGACCTTGTGTACTGGTTCCAGGGAAAATCCACGGGATCTATGGAGACCATGAATGTGTATCCTGAGTAAAAACGTACCCACACCAGAGTTGTAATGCAGATTTGCAGTTACAGGAAGATTTGTAATGCGCATCCCCATGAGAGCCATTTCCAATCGTGTTTTGGAATTTGTGATGCTGTGGACAGGATGAGGAGGTGGATTTGTTATGCGGCTTCCCTTGCTAAACTGCACTACAATACAGCCTGCAACTTGTCATGCGTGACTCACAAAACTCCTAGGTTTGTGTTGCAAAATCCCCATCCTGACTCTGGTGTGGGTACGTTTTTACACAGGATAATGTGCCTGGCTGCATCATCTCGAGGGTGTACTGACCCGCCCCCATGCCCATCAGCACCACGCAGGAGCCGCGTGAGATTGCGGCGTGCTCGTCTGGTGTTTTCTCTTCCATGAATACCTCTTTGTACTCCATACCGAGGGAAGCGGCAAAGGTTTTCGCAAGATCTGCGATAATCTTCCAGCCCTCAATTTGCCGGTGCCCTTTTCTCCGAATGAACGTGATGTAGTCAGGTTGGTCGTCGTACTTGAATATCAAATGCAAAAGTGTCTGGGTCTGGAAAGAAGCACCTTGTCATGCTAAATCTGAAAAATCATGGAAAAATCTGTGTTGCATGATTACCAAAAGCTGTCCACTTTGGACCTAATCGAGAGGCAGTTTCTCATGCAGGATAGGCGTGATAGAACTCTCACAGTAGAATCTGTCATGCTATGTCCTACATACCACACACCTCATGGGTCATGGGAAACCTGCATGACAAGTCTGGCATTCTTCCAGACCCAGACATTTTTGCAATCCATATTGAACGGCGCGCCGCCAAGTCGGATGGTTCTCGACCACGTCATCCCCGTAGCAAGCTGTGCTTGGATATCAAAAGGAAAAATCCCCCCTCACCATATCGAAAACGAAATTTGTTATGCTGTATTTGAGTACACAAGTCGACTTGTAATGCTAGAAGGCCAAGAGACGCAGCTGTGGCCTCGTTTGCAGGCAATTTGTCATGCTGTTTCGCGCCTCGAGTTGCTACCTGTTATGCTGAAGACGCACAGGCTTATTCCCACGCCAACCAGCACTACAGTCCGCATCTTTCCCTTTCTAGCATGACAAAGCTGATTTGTGACCACAAATCTGCATCACAAATTTCTAGTTTGAGTATGGGGAGGGGGGATTTTTCATTCTGATATTGGACGCGCGCCTCATTTGGAAAAGAAAAAACTTTGTTCGTCGCGTTGTCCGGAAACAATTTTGAAAGTTCCGGATCCACGCCTACTTCGATCGAGGCCAGGCGATTGTCCTTTTTAGCCTGGTCACACTTTGTGTTGTTGTATCCCGAGTAAAAACGTCCCCACCCCATAGTTGTCGTGCAAATGTGCAATGACAGGAACATTTGTAATGCGCATGAGAGGCCTTTTCAATCGTGTTTTGGACTTTGCAATGCTGGAAACAGGATGAGAAGCTGGCTTTCTCATGCAGCTGCACTTGCTAAACAGCCCTACACTACAGATGAAAATTTGTCCTGCAAAACTTCCAAAACTTGGAGATTTGTGTTGCAGATTTACCAATTTGACTATGGGGTGGGGACGTTTTTGCACAGGATATGTTGCGCTTCGCCAACATAGTCCACCAGTTGTTGTAGGCCACCTCGGGACCACGAACCTCGCACTATGGATTGCAAAAGTGTCTGGGTCTGGAAGAATGCAACTTGTGATGCTATTTTTGAAATCTAAAAAAATCTGTATTGCATGAGCAGCAAGACGAGGCGTCCAGTTTTTGCTCCGGAGCGGGAATTTGTCATGCGGAATAGACATCTAGATACCCGCAAAAAATTTGTGATGCTCGGTCATGCATTACAGGCATCATAGCTCATGCGAAATATGCATGACAAACCTTGCAATCTTCCAGACGCAGATCGATATTTGCATTTGATACGCACGGAAGGGCGTCGATTCCTTTCAGGAGTGCGTTGCCGAATCCCAAGTTGCCGCGAAGGAAATGGCCCCAGTTCAGAGGATTCACCCGGAAATCCAGCCACCCGCTCATGTTGAAGGTGATCCGTGTACCAAAAGGAAAAATCCTTCCTCCCCATGTCGAAATGGAAATCTGTGATGCGGGACTTCTGTACACGAGTCGGCTTTGTCTTGCAGGAGAGGAGTGCAGGCAAGTAAGTACAAAGCGGGACTAGGTGCGTTTTGGTGTAGGCGCCTAGCAAGGCAGGCATTTCCTCCGTAGGCCATACAGCATGACAAATTACCTGCAGAACGCGGCCAGGTTTTTGGATTTGCCTGCTTGCAATACAGAAACGATTTGTGGTCTCAAATCAGCATCACAAATTTTCAGAAGTATCCCGCTTTGGTATGGGGATGGGGGATTTTTCCTCACAATACCGTGCGGGCACTGCCTGGTCCGAGAAGTCGCCCAAATGAACCGGATCCTGCCACGCGGATATGGAAGCGTCAGAAGCGAAATCGACAAAAACGAAAAACTTGTAATGCATAAAAGCGATACCTCCAGTTGGACCCAGGGCTTATAGTCGGCGCATGGCAAATTTTCCCCGCGCCGGAAGCGAGTCATCTGTCATGCTGTTTAGGGTAAGTAAAGGAGCTCCCTGCTGTCGTGCTAGTCAGCAGCCCAACTCTTGACCCTTAGCAGGACTAAAATCAGCCTCCTTTCCATCCCCTGCAATAGAGGCACCCTCTGTGTCGCATTTTGTGCATGACAGATTATTTCTACTTTGTCGATTTCGACGATCCTGACACCCCCATAGCGGACGACCCCCCCGTAAACCGGCCACGGCATATTCGTTGCGAATAGAGGCGATCCTTCTCCACAAATTGCCCAATGACCACACACAGGTCACACTCGGGTGGAGAGGGACGCTGATCGTGGCAGAACTGCAGGGCAGTGCAGTCCGCTCGCGACCGCCAGAACGCATGCGTCGTCGGCAATTTTCCAGAAACCACATCGGGGGAGATCAGCTTCGAAGATGATGTCTTGTTCCCCTCGTTTGTCTTCTTCGAAAATCCGACGGAAAGTATCAAAAGGAAAAATCCCCCCACCCCATACTTAAACTAGAAATTTGTGACGCAGATTTGCGGTCACAAATCAGCTGTGTCATGCTAGAAGGGAAAAGATGCGGACTGTAGCGCTGGTTGGCGTGGGAAAGCCTTGCATCTTCAGCATGACAGGGGGCAGCTGGAAGTGGGAAACAGCGTGACAAATTGCCTGCAAACGAGGCCACAGCTGCGTCTCTTGGCCTTCTAGCATTACAAGTCGACTTGAGGCTCAAATACAGCATCACAGATTTCGTTTTCGATATGGGGAGGGGGGATTTTTTCTCACGATAGAAAGGGAGCACGCGTCCAAGGACGGTAATAGACGCTGCCGCAAAGTTTCGTGGGCTCCGCGGAGTTCAGTAGGGCTTCTGCGCTGCCGCTCGGGGCGGGAATTTATTCCGGCACCGCCGGCGTTTGTTTTTGTTGCGGTCTCCTGTTTGCTTTTTGATGTTGGTGTTGGCGCAGCGGGAGGTCCTGGTGGATTTGTCACATAACTACGGTTTATTTTCGTCACCCGCCTTAAGTGCGCGAGGTTGTCTGTGCTGATCGTCAAGTATCTCGCACCCCAAAACAAGGCAAGGAAGACGGCCTCGAGCAAAACCCACAGCAGTGACCATCTTACCAAACCGGCGTGCGCTTGCGCTGAAGCCACCAGCGGCGCAGACATTTTACGATACCGCGCTTCGACCGAGGCTGCGCAAAGACTTCCTAGGCGAATGCTGCTTGCATGCCATCGAGTTTTATCAAGCGCAGCGCCACCACGAGGAGCAGCTTTTTCTCGGGATACTGCGAATAGGAGGTGGTCTTATCAGCGTAGCGCCGAGCGTCCTAGTGATAGAATTGAAGTTCCGAGATTACATACAATTCCACCACACCTGCTAAACTGCAGGCACGACAATTGTGTCCCGCGTAGTGCAGGCCGAAGATTCTATCTTTGCATTTGTGTGCCAGATCTTTTTGCGTGTGTTGGTAAAAATGGACTTGCTGGAGGTGGTTAGCACGCGCACGCCTTCAAAAGCTACAGAGGTAAAAAATGACCAGGGCCGCTGCTTCTTTTCCCGTCACTCATGAAAAAACCAGCTAGGGAAGTAAATAACTCTTCTCTTTCAAAAATACGCAGATCGATCCTAGAAGCAGAAGCGAGCAGTTCATGGCTTCGGCCTCCCCTGGAGGTGGGGGCCTCCTTTTTTCACACGAGCAGGCGCAAACGCATGACCTTGCACGGGATGCAACCAACCACATCGCGAGAGAATCGAGGAAGAACCAGGCCAACTCGACGCACTACACATCAGATATTATACTAGAATCGTAGAAGATTCTTCACAACTGCGCGCAGTGCCAGGATATTGGGGAGGACGCCCGCTTGGATTATAGAAGCAGTCTTGTTGCTACATATGTTATGGCTCCTCCGCGTGTAACGAGAATAAGCATACTTAAAAACCAGTTCCCAGGGCTGCGCCGGTGGGCAAACACTAAGGCGAGTGAGTTAATATGTTTATTTGAAGTAGATGTGAACATGATGAAGGAGAGTCTAGCTCAGCGCGAAGTAAAAATGCGCACGACTACATTCGCTGCGACTACTTATTTCACAGAGGTAGGTCCGCCGTTAACGCGCCAACGTTCCCAGTTAATGCGCTTCCCAACCCCGCCGTCTCGCTCCGTAATGCGATGCGACTCCTTGAGAAAACTTTCAATGCGGCAGTAGGTTTCCGGAATGGTGGGAAGCTCTTCGAAATTTTCGTGGGGTCGCCACTGTATGAACTTCACTTGTGGAAGTAGGTTGGCGCTGCTGAGCGCAGGGAGTACCTCGTACTCGCACCCCTCACAATTCATGAAGATGAAGTCCACGACAGCGCTGCCCTTCGGACCTTTTTGCTGCAGGTCTTGCCACACATCTGCTACGGATCGCAACTCCAAGTCTGTAGTTTTCTTGCCAGGTGCGGCACCGTACATGCCGCCGCTCGATTCGCCCAGACTGAATGTTGATGATCCATCCCCGGAGTCGTAGACGACATTGCTGATTCGTCGGGCTTTCGCGGCCAGGCCAAAGGTGTGGAACTCAACGCGAGTCAGCCCCTTTGCGCCCCAAACTTTCTTCAGACTGTCCACGAATGGGCCCACTGGCTCAAAAATATGGATGGTGCAGGGGTAAAGCTTATGAAGCAGCTGTCCGTGATATCACACCGAAAAGGGTCCTCATAACTATTCCAGGAATCACAACCAAAACGAAAGCGAGCGCAGTTTGCATTTTTTCATGCGCCATTGGTTCTGTGATTTGCATAAGGTGTTCTTGTGATCACATAACCAAGATACTTTGCCGCGCGCGGTCGTTTTGCTTTTTGGAGAAATGTGCGTATACAAATGTCGCCGCTTATTTCTGTGAACGGGGCAGGGACACAACGTTTCGATGTGATACATCGCCGCCATGCGTGTGCGCACCTATGTACCAAATTGAGCACGGTCCCGACAGAGGAAGTCGCGGCCAGCCTCCTATGCGATTCGCTTGCTTGGGCGAGCGGGCCTCACAGGTTTGCATTGTGCTTCGCAGCTTTGTCGTGTCCACGCTGGCCGGTCTGGCACTCGTGGCAGATGGTGCGGCCGTCAGGCTGATGCTGGTGGCAGGGCCAGCCTCTGCAGTACTGCGCCAACGTTCCCAGTTAATGCGCTTTCCAACCCCGCCGTCTCGCTCCGTAATGCGATGCGACTCCTTGAGAAAATTTTCAATGCGGCAGTAGGTTTCCGGAATGCTGGGAAGCTCTTCGAAATTTTCGTGGGGTCGCCACTGTATGAACTTCACTTGTGGAAGTAAGTTGGCGCTGCTGAGCGCAGGCAGTACCTCGTACTCGCACCCCTCGCAATTCATGAAGATGAAGTCCACGACAGCGCTGCCCTTCGGACCTTTTTGCTGCAGTGCTTGCCACACATCTGCTACGGATCGCAACTCCAAGTCTGTAGTTTTCTGGCCGGGTGCGGCGCCGTACATGCCGCCGCTCGATTCGCCCAGGCTGAATGTTGATGATCCATCACCGGAGTCGTAAACGACATTGCTGATTCGTCGGGCTTTTGCGGCCAGGCCAAAGGTGTGGAACTCAACGCGAGTCAGCCCCTTTGCGCCCCAAACTTTCTTCAGACTGTCCACGAAGGGGCCCACTGGCTCAAAAATATGGATGGTGCAGGGGTAAAGCTTATGAAGCAGCTGTCCATCGCCGCCATGCGTGTGCGCACCTATGTACCAAATTGAACACGGTCCTGACAGCGGAAGACGCGGCCAGCCTCCTATGCGATTCGCTTGCTTCGGCGAGTGGGCTTGGCAATCCTTCATTTTTTCTCTGTCCTCGCCAGGTGCCCGGGCCTGCTTAGCTAGCCGCTCGGGAGCTATTGTCCCAGGAAATGGGGTCTGATGTCCGACGCCATGCGTGCTTCTGATGGCCGAATTCCAGGAACACAATGGCGTAACTCGAGAGATTCGCGAAAGCCGATGCCAATAAGCGCATAGAATGAAAACAATAGAGAGCGCGAGCAAGTCGCGGGTCGGCCTGCC